TGTGAACAGGAAGATGAAACTGTCAGGCATGTCCTATGCGAGTGTCCGGAGTTATCGTCAATAAGAGAGTGTCTGCTATTCAGCTAGTCTTGGCCTACATCTGCCGATATAAAGGAGATGTATCCCAGTGACCTGTCCATCTTCCTGGAAAGGACAAGATGGACGATGACCTAGGAGGACAACTCCTCGGGAGGATGTATAATGGGTCACATGTGGCCTAAGTGCTGGGGGCCTACACTCCCCCCTCCCTTCTCTACAGAAAACTTTCATGTAGTTTTTGACGTTTGTATGGTTGAGCAACAATTGACAATTGACAAAATGTGGAAGCTGTAGATAATCTCGTCAAAAATGCACCACGAGATTTTCGTTTTAAAACCAAGTTTGATCCTGTGACATTGTTTCATGATGAGCAATTCATCAAAATGTTCAGATCATCAAAAACATTATTTTTGGAATCTTTCAGAAGAGCTGAACTCCTTCCTTCAAACCTTTCATAAGATGAAGGTTTGATTATTTCGCGACATATTCCAAATCTAATATTACTTGTATATGGTTGGGACTTCTTTTCACTTAGAATGTGTTAACAGATTTGGAATGTATGAGGAAAATATAAATAAAAATTACTGGAATATTGAAAATAGAAAATCAGAACTGAAATGATAAAACACAAAAAGAAAATAGAAATGATTAATAATTGGGAGTTGTTAAATATCATGGAATATATTGAAATTAACTTGTGATAGCGAACATTATTAGGTATTGCAGTAGAAAAAGTATATGTTCCATCAGAATTGTAGTTTGAGAAGTTTGTCCTCAGAAATCATCAAAGAAACCCCGAACGTAATAATTTCATGAGCGCAATCAAAACATGTCGTGATCGAAATATATTTTCACTCTCACCTTTCGCTCATATCAAGTTACGTCATACCAGAAAATTCAATTTCTTTCCATGAACGATTGCACAAAATCAGTTCATATACAGATCTTATACTCAAAAGTTTTATCCGATTTAATGTCATGTGTTTTTGTAGCTCCATATCTCAATGCATATTTCTTCTACTGTGTCGTGGTTAATACTGTTCAATAGAGAATTTAAAACTATATATATACTAGAGCACTCGAATCTCTCGCCAACTGACTACCATCTTTCCAAGTACTTCGATAGGTTTCTCATCGAAAGAACCTCCGCCAATGAGGACCAGGCATAAACGGCCTTCGTCGACTTCATCGAATTCTGAGCACACAATTTTTATACTGACGGAATTATTCGACTGTACTGTACTGATTCGAATGACACTTACTTTGATCAAATTGATATTTCATTAACTGAGACATTACAGTTCAAGGTAGATCTATATGAACGAACAAAAGGTTTGAAACAAGCTGATACAAAGAGCAAATTGGCTGAAATTCAAATCAGCGAATAAAAATTCAACTCATGAATACATCAACACATTCCACATGAATATACTTCCGAAGACTTCTGTTTTATTCTCCAAATATTCATGACATTAACCCACTGAACTGATAATTAATCTAGTTCTATTCACTTCCGCTGATAGATCAGATTACAGTCTTTCAAACAGGAGTAAAATTAATGACCATGGGAACTGACGAGATATGCAATGTTAATTAAGACCTTTCTTGAAAGTAACAAGAAAACCCGACATATCATTGAAGTGTAAAATGGTGAATAATATTTTTATATTTCAATCATTAACCACAGAATTGAAAGTAATTTGTTAGTTTGATATACATTTTTTATGAGAAACCTCCGGTGATAGTTCAAATGACTATCTGAAAGTGACAAGTCTGACTTTCACTGGACTTCCTTGGATATTTCAACTTATTTTTTTCTTCCCTACGTCATACAATTCAAGTTATTGACTTTGTCACCCATTTGCGAAAAAAAAAGGCAATATGAATCTCTCCAGCAACCAGCAATATCAAAAATCATTAAGAAAGCTGTTAGCCAAGTCATTATATAATATCTGAAATGCTCCAATATGTGAGTGAGCATCAACTTGTTTTTCTGATGTAACTATATGTCATCCACTTATAGAATTTGCTGATATCTCCAAGGCCTGGAGTCAAATCGGGCATGAGGACTTATTAGAATTTGATGTTATGACTTGTCATCATTTTTCTTCTTCAGCTTTCACAAAAGTAGGTCCTTGCAAGAAGGTTTTCTCTCAATTACATTCACCGCCAACGCTGATCTTCCACAGAACGATCTATTGGAGAAGACCACAAATTCAACATTTTCTCAATTTGAAATAGCATACTTGGACATGGACTGCCAATATATATCTTCGTTGGTGAGATTTTATATCTTCATAAAAACTGAAGAAAATTTCAAGTTGGGCTGATAATAACTAAACATAATTCATTTGTAGAAAGATTCGTGTCACTTTTCTTTAATAAAGTTTGGAGATCCACATGAATGTATTCAACTAACTTAGTTTGATTGATTTATTTTATACTGATATATGACAGAAGTATTTGGAAATTCTTTCTGACAACATCACTTCGAGGTTCAACTTGGCACATTTTGGACCATACTTAATGAGAAGTCCTCCATTAGAGAATTTTTTTTTTCTAGAATATAATTCACGGGAAAAATTCGAAGAAAATTGCACTCTTAGAGTCCCCCAGGGCTCAGTCCTAGCCCCTTTCCTATTCTTAATCTATGTTCACGACGCCCCCTTCACTCAAAAAAATCCTACAATATGCCAAGGACACACTCTACTCCTCCGCCCCCAATACCCACATCTTACAAACACAATTCCAAACAATAAGCTAAACCACTTCGAGCACTGGTGCAACAAGTGGCGCATCAAGATAAACCCCTCTAAAACCCAAACCATCCAATTCAGACATCCTAATATCACTACTCGCCTCAGACTGTTAGGAGAGAACCTCCACCTTCAGGACTCGGTATCCTACTTGGGGGTTACTTTCACAAGTAGCCTCAACTGGGAGACCAACCTTAGAGAAACTCTGGACTAAGTGCGGAATAGATCCAATCTCCTAAATGCTCTAAGAGGCAAGCTCGGTATATGCGACAGTGAGACTCTTTTACACACGTACAAAATGTTCATAAGAGCGATCTTGAATTATAAAGCCATGATCTACTGCACGCTCTCCCAGAGACGAACCCACCATACTAACAACCAAGAGACAAATCCTACGAAACATCCATAACCTCCCATTCCGATACCCCTCCCAAGATTTATATAACCGAATAAATATTACCCTAATCAGCTTGAGATTTCAGGAACTACAGGGACGATACGCTGCGAAAGCCATGAGAAGCAACAACACCGCTGCCATCAGCACCCTTACCACTCCTTGGACGCCATGTGGAGGACCCAGGAAGAATCTACCGTTACCTCCAGCCAGACTCCTGGAAGCAGTGGACGACTCGACGGAGCAAATCCGGAACATCCTTGAGGAGTACCCACTGGAGATCAGATAAAGGCAGCGTATGGCCTGGAACACCTTGAAGTCTCAGGCATACTTCCCCCGGCCCAACAAAAACCCGAACCCTCAACAACGACCACAGCCATAGAGCCGGACATTCCAACCAATGACGCAACTACAAACTCTGATAATTTTAATTTGAATTAAGGAACCCAACCCTGAAGAGGCATAAGCCTATAACAGCCCTTCCTCATAATACCTATTATGTTGACCACAAATGAATGAACATTGAAATCAATCAACTCCTAGAGCTCCTACTGCTCTCTCGAAGCATCCTTAGGATTGATCTATATTGCTTTGAAATTTGAAATGTTTCAGGACTTTGAGAAGCTGCTTTCTTTGAAACTTCATGAAGGTTATTTTGGATGAAACGAGAACCTAGACATGGAACATTCGTGATCCAATACAAGGCAGTGTTGTTTCGATCCGCTGAAGGTCTCATCAGTGGTATTCAGCTAAACTCAGCTGTCTCCAAATGACGATCTTGAATAAGTATAGGTAATGACTTCTCCCCTCATGGAGTTGACATTCATGGAATCGACAGACAACTGAAGTCATGAATATCAAAGAAGAGCGAGACTCCACAAGGCGGTCAGTTTTGAAGCCAAGCTTTGAAACTGACCACCAAGTTGAAGCCCAGCTGTGTCATTTTTTTTCACTGCAAGAAAACTAAATAAAACGACTTGACATGTTGTTTTATTAAATTCGAAACGTTGGCAAGAAAACAATTGTTTTTTTAAGAAAAAAATTGATCCTGTTACTCAGTCAACCTGTATTCAAAAAAATTATTCGATCACTGAACTAGCGGATTTATTATTATCATTTACATTACGGGTAGTAACTTGTTTTTGCCTTTTATGAAAATATATTGACTGAGTTTTTCCTGCATTTAGATGCAACGAATTCATGCAGATACAGTCATAAAGATCAGAGAGAACCCCATTGCTTATTTTTTCTATGGAATAATTAGATTTTTTGGAGATAAATCATTGGGTTCGCTCCGAAGATGTCAGTTACATACATTGGGAATGGTTTTGGGACCTCTACTGATCCTTGAGGAACACCTACAGTGAGGTATGTCTTATAATTATGTTGTTTTATGATTGTGACCTCATTGTAATTGTACTGAGTTATGTGACTTTTTCCATGCCTTCCCTAGGTCTACGGAAATGAAGATTTTTTTATTTTGATTTGATTTTGATCAAGATAATCGGAATACAGGTGGTCACTGATTTCTCAGTTACCCCTGGCAGACTCATGTAGTGGCGACGTGCGTATATGCCAAGGCAAGTCTTTCAAAATCAGTTATAGGCCATCAATTTCTAAAATGGTATTACTCTCACCCACTCTAGACCCTCGAACATTACCCAAATCGGCAGCTCGTACCTCGCTGAATTTCCAAAACCGGAGCAAATGAATCCGATGCACAGTTGCAATAAGCCGTTGTTCACGCTCTCCGTCCGCATAATCTGCTGGTATAAGAGGTAACCTTCTCAGAGTTTCAGTAAAGACTCCGATAGGCGGTTAGACAAGAAACCTGCAGAGATTCGATGGTGTTCGCGGTCTTATTAGGATTTCCACTCGAGCGGGCGTGTTGCGATGTGATCATAGAGAATTAGTGTTGGTGAATAATGTGTTTGATGTTCCGATGTGATTCAATTAGGTGAATATCTAGATCATTTACAGAGTGGTATGCATTATTATTGTTTTTTTATATGCGAAAAGATGTGTTAGCAAAACATTGTTTTTATGATCGTGAGATGTTTCCTGATTTGTGAAATCCTAATTTCTTGAAACCAATTCTTAGATGAACTTGTGAGAATAATATGCAGACTTTGGACAAAATTGATTTTTGTGGAAGTATTTATAGTGATTTTTTGGGACTTGTCGCAACGAAGAAAAAATCAATTGAGAATTCTATATAGGTAGAGACAGGTAAAACTTTCAGTTCTCCCTAATGAAATAATGCATGAATTCAAAATATATTTTTAAGAACAATGTGCTGATTATCAGTAACTTATCACATTCCATAATTTTGCCTCACAATATAAAACAGCTATATTTCACAGTTCTCTTCTGAAGAAATGTATTTAAAAATATTCAAAATCCTCCAATATATTTCAAAAGAAATATGTTTTTGTCGCCTATCGAAGGGATCTGTAAATGAGACAATTTGAAAATAAGACAATTTTCGAAAAAAGAACTGCGAAATGGAGTTAGTTCCATAATTTCGAGGTTGGAGCCAAATTTCAGCCTAGAGAATTTCAAATTACACTATATTAATCCATTAGCTTTTATTTGATATATGAAATTATTTATCACAACAAGTTACTGAAAGTTGGCCTTTTGTACATCTTTAGCTATAAACTCATTCAATACAAATTTTTCATATTTTTTATAGTGAAAGGTGAAAAGTGCAGGAGAAGGTCAATAAATATGCATATATTTAAATTTGAATTGCCTAAACTTTGGATTGCTTGATAATCGAAAGCTATAAAATGCCAACGCAATTTCTGTCAGTAATGAGCAATTTATCGCACTTATTATTATCAATACAGAGCAATCTACTGCTAAAATTTAATTCGGTTTTTGTTGCTGAATCTATACTTTATTAAAAAGAAAAACAACAAATTCATAAAAAAGATCATTTTTGTACAAATTTTCATTACAGAATATATCAAAATTATAATGAATGATATATTTGGAGCGTGGATGTTTTTAAAATATATCAATATCCTTAATAGAGTGGTATATAATATTTTTGTGGTTCTGATGGCCAAAAAGCTTCGTTACACAGGCATTTTTCATAGAATCAATCACGATCATGGAAATGTTCCTTGATTTGAGGATACATAGTTTCATAAAACTCATTCATAATAGTGGTTTGTAAGATAAATTGAAATTCAATTTGGATGTCCAGAAATGCTAGATTGCTTGATTACTCGAAAGCTACCATGTGAAATGAAACTGTTCCAATTAGTAAAAAATACGGTTTTTGTCAGTAGACGTGATCCCTAATACATTTGTTACTATTAAATTAGTGATGAAATTAGAACCGATGAAAATGAAAAAAACGTCTGAAAATTATATGCAAATTGGAGTGAAGTTGTTTTCTCAGTAAATGTTGACGTATGAACCATTTTTCTCAATATTTGCCAATTTATCAACAGTACGATGAAAAAAGCTAAAACCATAATTGTTACCAAAGCCTCTTTAAAAAATGTACTTCACAAAAATCAAATTATAATACTCATACGATTTTTCATAATAAAGTGTTGGCGAATGATGACAATTTTATATGCAAAAATGTCTCAAAGTCGAGAAGATGATGGAACAGTACCTACAACTTAGTAGTATGATTATGAAATAGTTCAGTTATGTCAGTTTCTATTATGAGATGTCCAAAATTAGTCATTTCCTGATGATGCTAACTTGGTTAGCAAAACATGCAATGGGAGACAGTGTTTATTGGACATTCTATATGTTGGTAGTCATTTTTGTTGAATAATTTTCATTATTCTCAACATGAATCAATCATCAAATTTTCCCCACGCATCGTTGATACACCTTGTATAATATAATATCTCAAATATCTAACATGAGAAATACACGGAAATACTAAAATTTTCGGTTCATCATGAATTTTCATACAAAAAATTCATATTTCTCATAAAACTCACAATAGACACTCTTCAATAAGTCTAGTCTATGATATTACGACAAAAGCATTGTTTTTTAGTTTTTACCTCTGAAACGGACTGGATCATTTTTTTTATTTTATACTACAATTGAACGTGAAACGTCAAATGCATGTAGAATTTGGTATTCAGTAATTTCTGTCACCGGTATTTCAACAATTAAGATATTGAAATAAAACTGATTAGGACAGAGTTTGTTTAACAGGTCAATGAACCACCACTGTACCCAGAAGAATAGATGAAAAAACTGAATGGAAAACATTTTTTCATAGTCATATTATATTTTTGGCCTATAGAAGATGCTGTATCTAACTGAGAAAGTAAAATATCTGATCGTTTGTAATTTCACTTCAATTCAAAGTGACAACCGACTGACAGCTGTTTCGGTCTTTGGGTCTCGTCAGTGCCAGGTTTGACAGATCTTTCACTGAAGACAAACTATCAGCTTTTGGTGTGACCTCTATTTTGTCACCAACAAATTTCACGTCTCTGATGCTACCATAGAACATCTGTGACAACTTCAATGTGCAAAAAAAGGTTGAGCTTCTCTAGAATATCGCCTACGGATCGGCTGTATGCATTTCTAAAAGTGTGGTGGTAAGGTACATCCAGTGAGAGATTTAACCAAGGATGTCAATATAATAATTATTCCAATATTGAGATCTTCAATTCCGATATCCGTTACCTGACATGATTATCCAAAAATTACCAACATATGGTATATGCCTCTTTCAGACACACGTCCACCATTATGAAATGTGTGCCAAAGAAATCGGAAATTCATTAAATCTTTGCGTGCACTGATACGACCGAACACTTCGAATTCGAATTCTTGAGCACACTCAGACGTGACAAGTAGTTACTGTGAATTCAAAAAATCTGGGAATGATCGTCAACTTTCTATTATTGCGATACTAACGCGTGTTTCGAATAGGATAAAAACTCATTCAGCCTTCAATTATATGAATGGGAGATCAAGCGAACGATTGAAAGAAAACCGCTCTTTTTATCCACCATGTGTTTCGATCAGCGCGAAATGAGGAAATTATATTGATGGCAGCGAAGGAAACAAGTTCAAGACTCCTTCATTTGATACAAAAAGAGTCTTGGAATCATTGAATATGAAACGGATCAACATGGCACGTGAAGGTTGATTATTTATTTTGTCTACACAGGTCAGTTTTTATGAAAACAATGGGTACATCCTTGTCTTGTGGATGCAAGGGTGATTTTTTAAGAGGTATAGGATTTGATTTTCAAAACAACACAAAAAATTTGAGAAAATTGATGAAATCTTTATTAAAATCGATATAACGATCAATATAATTTGATGTTTGAAGATTATTTCATGCAAATGTTGTCCGCGGCTCTACTTTAGATGACCCATGCACAAGGTCCAATTTTGGCACACTCTCTCTAACATAGGTATCAACCGGTATTTCATGTATAAATGCTTCAATATTGGCTTCCAGAGTGTCAGTCGTTGTTGGTTTATTCCTGTAGACATGAGCCTTAACATGACCCCACAAGAAATAATCCAAAGGCGTTAAATCACACGATCTAGGCGGCCAATTGACGGGTCCCAAAAGTGAGATAAACTGTTCACCGAAGGCGGCTCTTGATTGGGCCATTGTTTAGCGTGCCGTGTTGCATGTGGCACCGTCTTGTTGAAACCACATGTCAGGCATGTCCAATTCTTCCATTTTGGGCAACAAAAAATCGGCAATCATAACACGGTAGCGCTCGTCATTCACAGTGACGTTCCGGCCAATGTCATCTTTGGAAAAGTACGGCCCGATGATGCCACCGACCCAAAACCCACACCAAACAGTGACTTTTTCGGGATGCATCGGTAGCTCTTGCAATGCTTGCGGCTGGTCTTCACTCTAGATGCGGCAATTTTGCTTGTTAACGTATCCATTCAACTAGAAATGAGCTTCGACGCTGAACACAATTTTTCGATAAAAATGTGGATCTTCCTCCAACTTTGCCAGCGCCCATTCAACAATGTTAGACGTTGTGGGAGGTCGTGTGGCTTTAATTCTTGCACCAGGTATATCTTATAAGATTTTACATCCAAATCCTTTCGCAAAATTTTCCACGTAGTGGAGTAACAGAGGCCAAATTGCTGCGAACGGCGGCGAATCGACATTTCACGGTCATCACGGCCACTGGCGGATACATCCGCAATATTTTCTTCGGTCCTCACTCTACGTATGCGTGTTGGTGGTTCAATGGCCAATAATGTAAACTGGGTTCGAAATTTAGTCAAAAGCTTCCGAATAGCTCCCTCAGTAGGCCGATGAAACTGCCCATGAATTGGAAGAAGTACACGATGCACTTTCTTCAACGAGCAGCATGAATTTTGATTATGATTAAGTCGATTTATGGTTAAATTATAGACCAAACTGAACAATTTTGATAGTGACACAAGACACGCTTCACGCAAAAAAATCACTCATGATAATATTAACGGAACAACTACTTATATGGAAAATCTTTTCTGGTTTCCTTGTGGAACTGAGAAAGCATGCTCTGTAGTTTTGTAAATATAAGTTGCTCCAAAGTATTTGTCCGTTTTTGAGTCTACTTCAAACTGTAATATCTCGTTCTAATTAGTCAGTGGGCTATGCTTGGAGACTGACAGTAAATAAATCTAAAGAAATAAACTTTAAACGTTCAAGCTAGTCTCGAATTTACCTACACAGTAGATTGAATGTACTGACATTCTGTTGTTTCGCTCCAACTTAGGAAGAGGAATGAAATACTCTGAAAGAATTCCGATTTTCAATTATGGAATATCATCGACTTCAGGTCGATGATGGCCACTATCTCGCACTGATGAGTGGCTAATGAGCCCGAAACCGGTCTGCAAGTGTGCCCGTTCCAAAATTGAAGGTCGACTCTTTCAGTTGTATTGCCAATTGCATATGCAGAAAATTTTCTGTGAAGATTCCTGCACTGACGCCTGTCGGATATAATCAAACACCCTTCGTGGTATTAGCCAGGGGAGTAGTTGTTTTCTGATAGGCGTCAGTCCATTCAACCTACTGTGTAGGTATATTTGAGATTGGCTTGAACGTTTGAAGTTCATTTCTTTAGATATGTAATATCTCAGTAGATAACTATTGAATATATTCGCACTCAGCTCCAGTTGAATCAGTGCAGTTTTGTCAACGTACCACAAGTCGATTGATTCCGTCAGCCCGTTGCTCGGTATTCGATGAGGTCGACGAAGGCCATTTTTGCCTTTATTGATTGACTAAAGTTCTACCGGTGGTGAAATTAGCTTGAATAGATGGTAGACGGTTGGCGAGAGAACTGGAAAATATAGTGATTGAGGTAAAACTTTGCTACTCAATTCGTTTGATTTTCGGACGATGATTTGTGAAATGTGGGGATGGACGATGTCACAGCATCGGACCCCTTCTGTTGGCCAATGCCGGCTACTGCTGATGCAATTTTCGTTGCATATCGTCTATTCCCTCACAATAAGACTCCGCTGTGATTTTGACCTGGTTGCAGACAGTAGCAGTGAATAAATGACACCAGCCGCTGACCACCATCCAATAACCATGGGTGACACATTGGTGTCCAACCACTGTCTTCTGGTATCATAGATGGTCCACTTCTCACCACACGTGAGGATTCGACCCAAAAAAGAATCGTTTTGGCAGTGCAAAAGCAAAGAAGAACAGACTTCGGAACGTGACATATCATGTCGATCGTTCAAATCATGGTGCAGCCTTTTAACATCTCCAATGTGTTTTAAACCATCAACATCCGCATGGAAGCTGACGCCTTGTTCTTCTGCTATCCCACGCACCTTTTGTGATTGATCAGTCTCCACCAGGGTCCTCAAATTCTTGTCCTGGAGTTGCTGTAGCCCCACTTTGGGGCTCATTGTCGGGGATGAAATTTTCGGAACGAAATTTTGCAAATCAACGTCATACAGTGCGTTCATCAACACTATCATTGCCAAATGCCTGGTTAAATTTTTGGGTCTGTTTGGGCAGAGCTTTGGTTCATATTGAATTCGTAGAGAAAAATTGGCTGGAAATTGCTCAATGGTATTATATAAGCTGAAAGGAGGCAAAAAATTAAATTTCTAAAGAAATGAACAGTATCAAAGCAGAGAGTAGAAAATTCTCTATTGATCAGTGAATACCACGACAGAATAGAGTGAATAAATATTGGAGATACAGAAACACACAACATTTAAACAAACCAAACTTTTGAAACAACCAATTTGATTGTTATATATGAATTATCAGAGACAATTGAGTTCAATTTCGTTCTATCTAAGTTTTGTATTTCTTCTTGTTGTGATTATCAGTATGAAAATTGTCTATTTTTTCACCACAATACATTTCAAATAAAACTGGATCTCATGAAAATATATTCAATCTACAATCTAGACAATCCGAAATAGAACAAACGTATTTTGTACCGAGATGACGTAGGTTATCTCGGTACAAAATAATTAGGCTCAAGTTTATTATGATTATGGTTAATTTTATCAACCACCTCAGTATATACCCCAATTTATAATCAAATTAGATGAAGACCATGTGCACGTAGCGGAGAAGAGTAATATTTTGCAAAGGAAAATGTTGATGTATTGTACCAAACGAAACACTGGAAACTATATTGTGGAAAACCCAGAAGAACTAGAAGATTTTCGAACATTTTTGGATGTAAAAATATTTCAGATTTTGGACAAAGTCGCTTTGGCTCTCTAAGTCTCCTTATTCGAATATAAAATATGAGAAAATACCAAAGAAACGGAGAAAAGAAGGAATTAACTTTGAACTGTGTCGAAATCTGTTATCCATGCACAGAAGTTTGGTTGAGATACACACCCAAGTAGTTTATTTTGGAGTTGAATACCGTCTTTAGCACATGTTTTACAAATGTTGTGTAGCGTTCTCATGCATGATGTTGCATTGCAAGTTTGGATTATAAACTGAATAGGATACTGGATATTTTATGCCACGAGTTGATCTGCTAGACATTTGATATAAAAAAATACCTTCCGAAATCTCAATGGAAACCTCACTACAAGTAGTAAAATAAGTTGATGAATTATACGTTTTCTCCGGTTATATTTTTTCACTATTGCTCTTGAATATCACTTGTAATGTTGGCCAACGCTATCGTTGGTTTATGGTCCATATATCAATATATTTCAAATATTTTCAAGGATCAGGGTATCTACATCCCGGAATACAAGACTATATCTATCCATGATAATAATTGAGCAATTTTTACAAACATTTTTGGTAGAACTAAGCTGTACTGTTCTACACTGCAGTTTTGAACTTCGCCTTTTGGCTGTTATATCCTATTTCATCTAATAAAGACCATTATCCTAATTTTTTTTCTTTCCACCTAAGTATGCCCTGATCAAGCCCTATCCCCCGAAGCCCTGATACATTCGGGAGGGCGCGTCAGCATTATCAACCAACAAACACTCCCCACACCGTAAAGTTAGTGATCATTGGTTCCGAGAATCATGTGCCCTGAGCAAGTGTAGTGAGCCAAGAATGACAGCCTTATGCATCTGTCCGGGTAAGATTTCTGCCTTCGTGCGGCAAACCGGTATGATTATAAGATTCGAAAGTAGAGATGGCATCATTCCACTAAGGACTTCAATAATCAGAACAACCATCTTGACAAAGTGATCTGGATAGAGTCTGCGGAGTTCGAAGAGAAAATTTCGATATTTTATCCGTTTTTCCTTCTCTTTTCTGACGATATTCGTCTCGCCAGGAGCTGAAAACTCCACGACACATATCGTTTTGCTCTGATAATCGAGAAGGACTACATCAGGCTCATTAACTTGTATGAGCCTGAGAGTGGGAAACGAATAGTTCCAATCAATTCGGCACTTCTCGTTCCCTGCAGCGGATTCAAAATCCCCCGATGCGTAGGGCAACACCGGTGTCTCGTCAATACCGTGAGAGTGCCGTATAAGATAATATTCCACTCTTAGGGCCTCGTTATGTCGATGAACACACCCACCTGGCAAGCCATAATGAACTCGACTTTCCGACTTCAGCCCACTCGACCTGAGGAAAGCGAAAGTCAGGCGCTTTGATAAGCCAAGGTCTCCAATGTTATTGAAGAAGACCTCATGCATTGGCTTATCCTTGTGTTTCCGCAGAAGTAAGGTTATCTCTGCGGCTTTTATCTGAGCTTTTTGCTGAACGGGTTCCAACTCGGTGACAGAGTTGTGGTCACCTCGTTCAGAGTCTAAAACTGTACCGAGTTCATTAGCTGCTCGGGCAGCTGCCCTAAAAAGAAATGCTCCAATTGCTGCTCTCTCATGGTCACGGACCATGCAGAGAAGGAGATCCGAACTCCTGACGACTTCACAGGCTATATCCAGTATCATTCTGACATGTAGACACTCCAAACTCAAAAGTCCACGGCCTCCCTGTTGTCGGGGGAAGTACAACCGTGGAACGTGGAACTCCTACAGAGATGCATCATTTTTCGGGTCTTTACGTCGAATTGATACAGATCCTCCCGAGTCCACTTCACTACCCCAAACGAGTAGAGTAAGATTGGAACGGCAAGCACATTTGCAGTTCCCCGACAGTTCCGATGACCACATCTGTCGAAGTTTGTGCTGACACTTGCCGCGGAGAGAGTTTTTCACTGCTGTTACCTCTTGTGAGTGGTGTTGTTGCACCCCGAGGTAAGTAAGTATACGTCTCTTTTTTTCAGCCCAACATGGTGTGTAAGTTGGTGACCTTGGCCATTATCTTATATTCCTTCAACGGATCCGATGGTATAATCCACAGCAATCCCAGAAGTTTTGGAAAACCTCCCAAATACTTTGATCCGGAATATACAATAAACAAAGTTTCATTGACTCAAAGAGGTTATATACAGGTAAAGATCATTTATTTATAGGTTCAAAATTATTTCAGTTTTGTTTTCATTGGAGTCAATGAACTCTTCCGAAGACTCGTGTTCGATTTTTTTCAACCTCGGTTTGCTCACTTAAATTCTGATTTTTTTCAGTTCCTGAGATATATTACTGAAGTACCTCCATTGACTGAATATACATTCTGTATATGGATGCGGAGTCACAATTTGACACACAATCATCCTATTTTATCATATTCAAGTAAGTATGTTCGAATAAGTATATCTGTTTATGAAAAAAAATCGATTACTATCGAAGATTGAATATTACTATATTGTATCTCAAACTTGAAAAAACATCTGATAATAATTGTATCTTTATATTAGCAAAACCAACATATTGGTTATTCAGTTATTGTTTCTTGAAACATTTTCGAACTTCTGGAAAGAAAGCTACGTGGAGCTTCTTCATAAAATGGTTCTCGTTATAATGTTGTCAATTTCAGGGTTATTTGCAATCAGTCAAAGTTGGCCAGACTACTTCATTGTCTTATCACCAGAAACGTTTCTATGATATTGAAGACATCATGAATAATCAACAATCTAGGAGATCATTATAACTGTTAGTCATACTCGGGAGATGTTGCTATTTTAGAATGGGGTTGCAAGAAAAGATATTCAATTAGATTTTTGATAATACTACTTATTAGCGAACAGATACTTTTTCTAATACAACTTTCCTTTATTCCAGAACATGAGGAAGAAAGACGTATAAGAGTATGGATCAGTCCATATGGGAAGAATGTAAACCTCGAAATCCTAAACCAACAAGTCTTCGAGGTACCCGTGAACTTAGTGGAGGGACATTGGTATCATATTTGCCAATCATGGTCTTCCAATCAAGGTGCCTGGCATCTCTATTTCAATGGTAAATTGAAATCGAGTGGGATTTTCCCCAAGGTAAATACTATAGACGTGTTTTTCCAAAAGTAATTTTTTGTGATTAGGTAAAATCAACCAAACAACATTAGTAAAAATAACCTCACAAGCCCAGGGAGAACTATTGGTCTACTTGATGTTAGATGTTTTCTTAATGAACAGTGCTTACTGTTCAGCGATACAGTTAGGCTAGGTCAAATGTGAGTGGGTCTATTCGACCCTCTACTGTAACCCGTAAAGGTTCATTGTGGTCACGCCTATTCACACTCGACCAAATAAACGCAGCTTCCTGACGAAGCCGATTATTGGTAAGTGATCTTTCAAGTCAGATAGTAAGAGTGCGCCAAACTCTGAGAATCAAATTAGGTGCGCAGAGGGGCAGGCACAAAGTATGTGCTCTGTGTTTTCATCATTTTCCAAACAGAGGCGACACACACTGTCTTCCAACAGTCCATCCCTACTGTATTCCAACAACTTTTTGGTTTTGAACTTCGAATGGTGAATAAACGCCTTGAAGTGAGCCAATCCTGAAAGATTTTGCCAGAAGTCCATACATCTTCTTGCTATCTAGGTGTTCAAGGTTTGTTTAGCAGAGCCTGAAGCACTGCTAATGACAGGTTCTGGTCCGATGAAACTGTTTACAGCACCCTTTTTCGTAAGGGAGTCAGCATCATCATTTCCTTCCAGGCCAGTATGGCCAGGAATTTAGACCAGAGACAATTTGTGAAGTCTCCCTATTGAGGAGGTAGTTGCTACAGTTATGGGCCACCTATGAAGATGTTACCGTGTGTTCCTAGGTGAATTTTCCAAGTACAATTCATGAACCCATGCCCTGATCTTGTATTTCCTTTCAAATCCCACAGTTGATTCTGGCCCATAACACAAGATAGTGGTAGAATATTCAGTGTTTTGAAAAATAGTTGGCAGTGGTTTCTATATCTAATCCCAGCTAATCATCTCACTCCGCGTTTTTGTAGCCCAAATTTTCAAAATCGACAAATTGACCCCTCAAAATTGATAGATGATAAATAGCAGGGGTCTTGTAACAAAACCCTGCGGTTCTCCATCCACTTTTGTTCACCTTCCAGCTACAATGCAAAAAAAATATTGGCGTGCCTTCTCTCTGAATCTGTAGAGTAGGAAGGGTGAGTGTAAGGCCACATGTGACCCATTGTACATCCTCCCGAGAAGTTGTCCTCCTAGGTCATCGTCCATCCTGTCCTTTTCAGGAAGGTGGACAGGTCACTGGAAAACTTCTCCTTTGTATCGGCAGGTGTAGGCCAAGACTCGCCAAACACACACTCTCTTATTGACAATAACTCCGGGCACTCGCACAGGACATGTCTGACAGTCTCATCTTCTTGATCACACATCGTGCATAGAGGTGTGTCCACTAGCCCCATATTATGGAGGTGTTTTCTTAGTTGACAGTGGACAGTCAGAAATCCTACTGTTAGGCGTAGATTTTTCCAGGTCATCGCCAGATATTTCTACGGCGCCATCTTCCCAGGGTCGCCCAAGGTGATCCTGGCTGGATTGCATCCTTTGATTCCATTCCATCTCTTTAAGGATTGAGCATGGGTGTAACATTTGACTAGTTCCGCAATTGTCGAAGTCATCAGGCCGTGGGTGCCACTGGGTCCTAAAATTCTTAGTCCAGCCGTTTCCTTGGCTAAAGAGTCGGCAATGCGATTACCTTTACTCCTGTCGTGTCCTTCAACCCACCTCAGGATAATATTATTATCTACCGAGGCATTGGCTAAATCTTGGTGACACTCTGATACTATCCCTGAGGTTATACGTTGTCTGTCCAAGGCTAATAGGACTTGTTTGCTGTCAGTGCAGATTGTTATGCTTCTACAAGAAATTCCTTTCCTGGTTATTTCTTTTGTGGTGATTGAGATACCAGTCAGTTCTGTATGGACTTCGCTGGTATTTCTTCCCATTCCCCACTCAATCCTTAGGCTTAGGGATCTGGAGTACGCTCCACATCCTTATCCTCATGGCGTGCATTAATGGAAACTTGTTAATGGAAATCGACCAATCTGAAAATTTTTCTGGAATATTTTTGTCCAGAACTTCATAAAATTTCATATTTTGAAAGCTTGGTATAAATCTACATACATTGACTGTTACAATACGAACTTTTGTATTTGGTTCTGTCATATACGGATGGAAAGTGTCAGTGTAACTGAATTTCTTGAAGCAATATAATTAGCTACATAATTATTGAATGTTGTGAAACAGAAAACATTTTCATGCATTCACGATACCATCGTTTTCCTTTTTCCTAATCGGATTTTCATTGGCATGCTGTGCTTATTACCGTAACACGTTCCATGACCTGTTGAGAACTGTTAATTGGACCAGTTATGTTTTGAAATATTCGCGGATATTTCCTGTGCTGTAGGTTCTAATTACATACACGGAAATGGTCATGGATCTCGTTAGACTGGGCTTTCTAATTAAATTGAAAGCGTTCGAAAATGAGAGCTATAAGTTCAAAATTGTTTCGAATATTTGATAATGAGGTAGATGAGAAATTTCTGCTGTACTTTGGAAAAATATTATTAGGAACCTTTGTTAAACCTCATATGAAATAGTAACATACTTTTAGTCGCAAATGTATTGGAAAAAAACATAAAGGTCCAGCTCATCAATATGCAAAAAAGCATTGCCCTTAGTTGATTGAAATCTAATAAATGGTTGGGTTAGGTCCAAAGTAGGTAGGTACTCACTTTAGACCAAATAAACCCAGCTTCTTAACGAATCCGATCAGTTTGTCTTTAAGATCAGATGGTGAGAATACGGCTCTGTCGAACTCTAAACACCTGATTCGGTCCCCACCGGGGCAGGCATGAAGTATGTATTCTGCTGTTCCATCATTTTCCAAACAGATGCGACCAACACTGTTTTCCGACAGTCTGAGTCCCTGTATATGCTGATTCAACTGACAGTGACCTGTAAGAAGGCCTCTTAGGTCGTAGTTCATCCCTACTATAGTCCAACAACTGTTTGGTAGCAAGCTTCGAAGGAGGAATTGAAGCCTTGGAGTGAGCCAATCCTGGAAGATTCTGCCAGAAGTCCATGAGTCTTTTTGCCATCCAAGGTGTTCAATTTTTGTTTAACAAAGCCTAAAGCGATGCCAATGACAAGTTCAGGTCCGATGAAGCTGCTTGCAGCACCCTCCTTTGCAAGAGAGTCAGAGCCTCATTGCCTTCTAGGTCAGTATGGCCAGTAATCCAGACCAAAGACAATCTTTCTATTGAGGAGAATCGTTTTTGGCAATTTCCTATCAATTTAGACGTTGATCAGTAGGAGCCAAGAGCTTCCAACGCCGCTTGACTCTCCAAGAATATTTTTATCGACCTGTGTATGAGGTTGGATTCTTCCAATCTCCCCGCACAATATTCAATAGCGTAAATTTCCGCTTGAAATACAGTCGCATAGATTCCTAGGCAGGTTGATATATTTGTTCTGGGTCTGCGAATGAAAACACCTGCACCAGAACAAATTGAATGGAATGGTGTCTTGGGAAGTTTAGAAAATATCAAATCTCCTAAGTGGGGTAGCATAACATCGATAAAACAGAGACTGAATATTCTCATGGTAGCTTAAAAATAATAATAACTGACTGATTGAATTCACAAGACAAAACACGACATTTGGTGACTTCTTTGATTTTCTGTACACTCAGCTAATCAATTTGTTTGTGAGAGGCATAAAAGAACTATTTTGCGTGTTTGGCGATTTTCTACTATAGAAAAAAATTGATCACAGAGTTTGCATAAAATTTTGTGTGAAAAATGGAATCAGGTACTGATCTCATTTAGTATCTTGATTTTTTTCGCTTTCGCTCCTTTCACTCAAAAGATTTCATTATGAAAATATCATATCCCATCATAAAGACACATTCTCCAAACTTTTTCTGCTTGTCTTAGATATTGCTCCAATGAGTCATGCGGTTGCAGCTAGTCTGAAGTCTTTCAAATTCTTTTTGTGGATGTTCGTTCTCTAAATATGATGAAGCTTTTGACGATTATCGAATCTGGAAAGTGACAAAACAAGCAGTGCTATCATTGCCACTCTTGTACATTGGCTCAGTTGAACTCTATTAAATTTTTGGTATCCGTATCCAGATGTTATATCCTCTTCTGACCAGTTTCAGAGGCATATACTGCTGGAACCCGATTCGGCCATTGAATTTCACCTTTGACTCATCTATACTTTGGTGTTCATTGGGTTCATTAGGAAAATTCACCAGCTTTCATTTACGGGTGCTGCTGTCGGAAACTTTTCGTAACCACTGCTATCTTTTCATACTTCATCCAAATATTCATTGAATAGTACAAATCATAGTATAGTTCCCCCGTTGATTATTGAAAATTCACAACTGATCATTTCATCATCGATCGTGAACTGTTTCTATCCAATAACTCCATTTCAATTCAAATTTTTGTTTTCAGTTGCGCGGAGCCATTATCCAAGGTGGTGGAGACATCGTCGTCGGTCAGGAATACACTGACTTTGACAAAGGTCTAGAAGATGGAATAGAAGGAGATATTTTTGGATTCAACTTCGTGTTATCTTCAAGCTCGAATTATTTCAAACAGGCCAACTTTATATCCAAGAAGCAGTATGAACCACCCAGAAGAACAAACTCGTATGGAGGATTATCGTACGAAAAACATCAGCAATTGTATCCTATTAGTTCGGTTGGTCCGGAATTAACTACGGAGAGCCTAGGCCAGGACACTACCACTTCAAATCAAGTGCAGCTAGATGAAGTACCAGATGTAGTGAGCTACCTTGGTGCCCCAGCTAATCGGGATCCGAAAGGACTCCTGGACATTTTCAGGAATACCTTCGATTTCTTCGATGAAGAACCTACTAAAATAAAAGTTGTGCAAGTGTTGAAACCAAAGCGACAGACTTTCTACAACCCTCTCCAGAGGTCGAGTCCCTCAAGGGTATCGAACGATATAAGTGAGGTTAGGAAGCCGCTTGGGCTACTACTGGTGGAGATGAGTTTTGATTGTGGTTTCAAAAAAGGTGCGCCTCTTAATGGAAAAGGGGTGCTGATTAATTGGACAAAGTCGCCTGTGAGGGTCTTTGGTGGAGCTATTTTGAAAAGTGTACCTCCGTTTTGTTAATAATAATGGGTCTTTTCAATGAAGAAAAGGAGAGATGAAAATAATTTTTATAAATATAGAAAATGTTGGTGGTGAAACGACCAATGAGTGAAACTGATGATGCTCAAAAAACTATTTTAAATATATTTGAAATACAAATGGTAACATGATTGAAAGCTTATTTTCTTCAGTTGGGTGATTCTAAAAGCAAGTGTAACTGCCAAAATGATGACTGTCAGTTAGCAGTCAAATCAACATATTAAATAATGTATCGTGGTTCACAAAAAACAGTACATAATTTGAAAATGAGAAGATAACATTGCTGTAACCACTCTCATTTGAAATAAACGTTGGATTTTTGGAAAGAAAATAACAGATGTACAATACGTTTTGGAAAAAAGTGCAACCACATTTTAATATTTCACTTTCACTCCTGCTCAGAATAAAAAATAAAAACCTAGAGAAACCATTGAATGAAAATATACGGATTTACTCGAAAATAGGTAATTGAATCGTGATAGCGTTTTTGGTCTGAATTCCTTTCACCTTTCGATTTGTGAACAGCATGAGGATAATTCATTTAGTCCAAGTCCTAGTTGAAGTAACAAAAATATCTCTTTTCTATTTATTATTTATACACGTATTTGTTATCTATGGAGTATACTCTTCAATTCAAAAAACCCTACTGAAAAATTATTATTTATTGTTTTTGTCAATATAGTTGTATTTTGGGTTGCTATGTTTTTCATTTGATGGAGGTTATGTATAGTCGAAGATTATATTGATGCTGACTGATAATAATGTCTAAAATTATTGAAGTATTCATTTTTATCATATTACTCTCCTTTCATTTCGATTTTCAGGCAAAGACGTAACCCACAATTGATCCTCAGTTTTATCTCACTTATCAAATATAACTGTTGAATGCAAAATTCACATTATTCATTGACGCTTTATAAAATATTGAAGATTTCGAAAAAAAAATTTTGTCGCGAAGTTTGGACTGATCAACGAGTTCAAACCATTTTTTCCTAAACGCTAACTGGAGAAATCGACCTCGTTTCGTATTTGTTGGACCACTCTGGATATGATAGACACCGGCTCTAGATACTCGAGTGCAATTTTATGGTCAATGCTGTTCTGCTCTGCCAAAGAGAAAAAATTGATTGTTGTATTTTGACGTATTGATATATTGATTGATATTTATTTTGATAGAGCAGAAAGCTGATAAATTAGCACCACAACTGTACACCTAACCATATTTTCTCAAAATTTCTGCATTAGTTTTTGAGGTTACACCAAATCACTGTGAGGATACAAATTTTTCAGTAAACTATATAGTCTGCGAGTAAGAATATTGTTACGTTTTTCCACGTGGCTTGATCAATAATTGACTACACTGAATAATCAAACTCAACTTCATTTCACTTTAAATACAACAAACACTTTAACAGAACTTCAACTATTATTTGAATGTCTATCGCTTTACGAGATCACTTCGAGTACCGCACTGTAGCTTCCACTTGATTGTGTCGATATGCTCGCGGATAGCGTTTGAATATCGCCGCATTATTCTCGCTGCTTCTCAAGTGGCGGGAATCATCGTGCATTCGCGCGCTCTTAGCTACGTCACCATTGGTTACCAGTGGCGGCCGGAGTTATTTTCTTTCGGACATGATTTACAACAATACTATTATTCCTATTGACCTTTCAATCGACATCTATTGTCTTCTATATTACGATCTGTGATTGTCCACAAATATTGGCATTTTGTCTATAATTGTCTTTCGGTTCCTTCTATTACCAAGAAATTGTACCTGATGATTCATTCGAATTATTGTTTAGTATAGAAACAGTAACATTATATTTTCGTGTCATCTGCATAGGTATGTATTTGAAAGTGCATAGGAATGTATTTGAAAGTTCTTGAATACATCGGAAAAACCAAAGGTATGAATAAAAAAAAAGAGAGGTGCAAGTAATGAACCCTGTGGTTCACCATTTAACATTTTTGTTCCGATGATACGTGGATTGTTCAGAAAATAAAGGCTAATGTTCGAATTTCGCGGACTACGTACATTCGATTGGTGACTTCTTTGATTTTCTGTACACTCAGCTAATCAATTTGTTTGTGAGAGGCATAAAGGAACTATTTTGCGTGTTTGGCGATTTTCTACTATAGAAAAAAATTGATCACAGAGTTTGCATAAAATTTTGTGTGAAAAATGGAATCAGGTACTCGAAAACACTTGAAATGTTGACAGTGACTTACGGTGATTGTACTCTGAGTCAGAAAAATGTTTACAAGTAGTACAAGCTTTTTACCAAAGGCCGCGAAGATGTGAATGCCGACACTTGTCCTGGACGCCCCAGCATAGCAACAACCGATGGAAATGTTGAGAAAGTGGAGAAAATTGTTATGGAGAATGGTCGAAACACTATTAGAGGAGTTGCTGAGGATGTCGACGTATCGGTTGGCTCATGCCATGCAATTTTTTAGTAAATTCTGGGCATGCAGCGTGTGTCAGCGGAGTCCGGTTCGAAATTGCTGAATTTTGAACTGCTCACGAATTGTTGAATGACGTCAACGTCCATCCAGATTTGCACGTCATATGCTTCGTCATAACTTGTGACGGAAGTGATGCAATTAAACCCAGGTTTGTGTTCAATAAACCCTAAAAAATACAAATAAAACAGAGCAGAACCGTCAGATGATATAAAAATGCAATAGGCATATATACAGAGGGCTCAAATATCTAAGAAGGCTCAGGATGTGGAGTGTATTCCAGATCACTTAGCCTAAGGATAAGGTGGGGAATGAGAAAAAACACCAGCGTTGTCCAAACAGAACTGGCTGGTATCTCAATCGTTGAAAAAAAAACCAGAAAAGGAATTTCTGGCAAAAATATAGCAATCTGTACTGACAGCAGACTAGCCCTATTAGCCTTGAACGTGTAACCTCAGGGCTAGTACTTGAGTGTCACCAAGATTCAGCCAAAGCCTCGGTAGATAATAACATTATCCTGAGGTAGGTTAAAGGGCACGACAGGAGTGAAGGTAATCGCATTGCCGACTGTTCAGGCAAAAAAGCGGCTGGACTGAGAATTTTAGGACCCAGTGATACCTACGGCCTGATGACTTCGATAATCGCGGAACTAGCCAAACGTCATTACAACATAGCCGGCCTAATTATTTGTTTATGAATAAGCAACTTGTTGTCAACACTGAGCTTAGAGTTCCGTGCAATGAGCGGATATGTGCGTTTTATCGCCGCACCCGCTCGTTGGATCGCCATACTCAAGTGTTCCTGGAAGTTCAGGCGCTTATCCAGGATCACTCCCAGATATCTCGCACTCTCCTGCTCGTCAATGCACTCATCCTTAACTCGCAACTTCCTGAAGATCTTCACATTCATGAATTTCCTCGTGAAGTTTACGAGTTCAGTTTTATCGGGATTTATTTCGATTTTATTTTGTTCGAAATACGGCACGACTAGCCTATCGAGGTGGATCTGAAGCTGCTGCTTCGCCACCTCGCTCGAGAAAGATTGCGCGTAAATCGCGGTGTCATCAGTATTATTGAAGATTTTGTGATAATTGTAGTTGGGAAAAGGTGGAACTGGAACCTGTGGCGTAAAGTAAATCCAAAACAAGCAGAACACCAGAATTGCAACACTGTTCTCAACGCGACTTTTATCAAGCAAGTAGCACAGTTTCTGTTTGTTGTTTCGTTGTTGTTGTTGTTGTTTCGAATGATGTTTCAAAAACAGCTATATTCGAAAAATGTTCACAACTTGTAATGATATTTGAATAATATTGACCGAGTTTCTTTTGCTTTGCTTCTGATTGAAGCTATTCATCATCGAATTATTTCACTATTCTCATCCTCCCGGTTGGAGACAATATCATCCAATGCCACACCACAACGATATATCAAATTCTCTTGAAGTGCTGATCGATGAAAACCGACGAAGAAATCTAAAAATAATTCCAAATAACGTGTCCGCGGAGCCATTATTCAAAATCACTCCCATTCAGGAGTTTATTGATCAAACTCGAGCAGAACGATGACGTGAATAGCTTCCAATTTCGGAAATGGTTAATAATTGTGAGGCGTCATGACGTATGAATTGAGCAGACCAAACATCACTTGACGCCAAGTTGAATGGAGTTCGATTAGAGAAGGAACTTCTCAGATTGGTTGTACATACGATCAGTGGCGTACCGTAAAGCAGACACAGAATACTGGAAGTCAATGTCATCTTGTTTAGAAGTTTTCACAAACTTGAGCAATCATATGTAACAAGGATCAATGTCTTCAACACTGACTTTGAATTTTGCAATAGTATATGGTTCAAGTTACTTTATTTCGACTTTTCACTTCCAAAGTGGAATATAGGTTAGGTTAGGTCCAATGTGAGTGGGTCTATTCGACCCTCCACCGCAACCTGCAAAGGTTTATTGTGGCTCACACCTATAAACACTCGACCAAATAAAACCAGCTTCTTAACGAAGCCAATTCGTTTCATGCTGAGTGGTCGTTCAGGTCAGATGGGAAGAATACGGCTCTGACGAACTCTAAACACCTGATTCAGTCCCCAGCGGGGCAGATACAACATATATGCTCTGCTGTTTCATCGTTAATGGGTCGGATAGTCGGATAGTCAAGGTGCAAGATTCCCACCTTGATACCCGTGACAACCTTCCCATATGAGGGTTTTTGCACGTCAGCTACACCTGATGATGCCTTAGATTCAACCGTGCAACAGATTCTGCGTACGCCGCTCAAGGATTTGGTGCAAAGCGATTTTATAAGGTATCCCACTTTCGAGAAAACGACTCAGTCGTTTCCTGGCTGCACCACCAAACCTTTTTTTTTTAGGTTCAGTTATTGGATCAGGAGTTGTGGAGTTGAGAAGCTCTCGCTCCTGAACTAAATTTACAGGAAGGTCAGTTGGAGTCGAGAACTCGACATCCATCTCCTCTGTAGATTCGCTCCTGAACAGAATGTATAGGGAGGTCAGTTGGAGTCGTAAACTCGACATCCATCTCCTCTGTAGATTCGCTCCTGAACTGAATTTACAGGAAGGTCAGTTGGAGTCGTAAACTCGATATCTATCTCCTCTGTAGATTCGTTACTGATATAAATTTACAGGGAGGTTAGTTGGAGTCGTAAAATCGACATCCATCTCCTCTATAGACTCAACGTCAGAAAGAATGTTTGAGTTTACTCTGTCCGTAAAAGTCCTACGAGTAGCTAGGGAAAGAAGGTCAATCACGGCAGAGACCCGCATCACCGTGACAAGGCGCTGCTACGACGAGAGGGCGCCTGGTATCTCGAAGGTTCCGTAGAGACAGCTGATAGACTCAGAGTCATTCATCCTTTCGGCACAGATACACATACCTTAGGATCAAGCCATGGTTGGGATGCCATTTAGTTAGGGAATAACAGAACCACAAGTGATTCTGTCATTCCCGTATCCAGCGGGGTTACGTGGAAGCAGGCATCCGATGGCCGGTTTGCTCAACCCCCACATCCCAAGCCAAATCACTCGCCAAAAACCGCATGCACAGTGGTTCAGGAAGTGAAAGATGAACAAGGACAGCCAACTTCCATATCAAAATTAACTGTTCAGTTGGTGAAGCTTTTCAAATGTCAATATCAAGCGAGTTACAAATTGTCAAATTCGAAGAAGAATTCTTGAACTGGTAAAAGCATTGTGAAGTCAGGTGCAGTTTCAAAAACTGACCTGGAGCTTCGGACTGGCAACTTTTGGTGAGTTTTGTTTGAGAAGTCCTTATCTAATGTTTATTATTTGTATATTTCAAAATTACTTTCATTTCCTGAATGAGGAAACAACTTGCAGGAAACAACCTTCGTTGATCACTGGAGTATTCCAGGATGCAAAAACAGTTTCAGATATCAGGCGAAATCTACCGAGACTGGCTTGTTTCAAGGCAATTATACATTTTTCGAACTATGTTACCAATCAAATGTTAGATTACATTAGGAATGATCTTTATTGTCTTACAGACCTACTTACCGGTCAGTGTCTCTGAATCATCACATGAAAAGATTTCGGAAGAGAGTGTGTAGCGACTCTGTTTGTAAGATGATGAAACAAAGCACATACTTTGTGCATGCCCCGCCACGAATCTAACAGTATTTGCTGTTTCTCTCTTGCCATATGATATGATAGATTATTCACCAAATAATCAGGTCAGATGGTAAGAGTACGGCTCTGCCGAATTCTAAAAACATGATTCGGTCTCCAGCGGGGCAGGCACAAAGTATATGCTCTGCTGTTTCATATTTTTCTAAGCACAGGTGACACACACTGTCTTCCGACAGTCCAAGTCTCTGCATATGATGATTCAAATGACAGTGATCTGTAAGGAGGCCTGTTAGACATCGTAGTTCATCCCTACTGTAGTCCAACAACTGTTTGGTATCAAGCACCGAATGATGAATAAACGCCATGTAGTGAGTTAATCCTGGAAGGTTCTGACAGAAGTCTATAAATCTTCTTGTCCTCCAGGTGTTCAATCTTTGTTTGGCAAAGCCTTAAGCGATGCCAATGATAGGACCTGGTCCGATGGTGCTTGCAGCACCCTCCTTTGCAACGAAGTCAGCAGCCTCATTGCCTTCCAGGCTAGTATGGCCAGGAATTGGCAATTTGCTGAACGTCACTAGAGATTATCCCCAATCTGATTTTTGAACAAAAAAGTTCCTAGATATATGGAAAATATCTAGATGCTGGTTGTATTTGAAAACATAAATAGTTAAGTGAATGAATAATATCCGGGGTTACCCCCTCCGAAACCGACTCTACGTTTACGAAACACCCTCATTGTGATGTGACCCTGTATTTTCAGTTCAAGTTTCCATGTTCACAGCCGTCATAGTGTGATAAAACGAAAATGTATCGCCTCGTAAATAATTCTGTCCTACCTATTTTTAATCGAAGTTTCAATTTGAACATTCACGTATGCGATAAGACAAGTATGTGGTGCATGACCCGACAGTTGGATTGCTGTTTTTGCGGTATTCCCCTTTCCCATACGGTCGTAACAGGCCGCGAACAACGCGGCGAGCGCTGTTGCCACATTGCAAGTTTTACCAGAAAAACTGAATTCAATGAACTGAGACATCTATGAATCATCGAAGTATTTACAATAAATCCAAAACAAGCTTCCAATCACCAGAAATGCAATACTTTTCTCGACACGCGTTTACACAACTAAGTTTACGTCTTCAGGAGATGAAAAAAAGTGTTTGTTTTGGATTTATTATAGGGCAGACGTTTCAGTTTTGCCTTTTATTTCAGTATTCACCCTAGTTTGGAGAATGAAATATATCTTTGAAGAAATTCTAGAGCACTGGACAATGAAAAACATAATTTACGTCTGCGCTAACGTTTCGCGATTTTGATTCGGCGTGAATCAGCACTGAGTACCATATGAACGGAAGCTAAGAGTGAGGTATAAGTTAGTGAAGATAGGAAGAAAGTTACGTTTCATATATTACTGTAGGAGCACGAGAGAGAGAAACGTGCGAGCACACATCTACGGTCGAGTAGACACTGAAGAATTAGGAGGAAAGTATCACACGTTGCCACTAATTTTAGTAGGAGATTTCAATGTTAATTTCGCGTTCGAAGATGGACAAGTCTTGGTGAACTTTCCTTGAGATAAATCAGGACGAATGAATAATAACCGAAATCAGCCTATCACAAGACATGAAACAACAATCCATGCAGTTTTCTCTAGATATATTTCTAATTTTCATTCGAAAATATTATGTATCTTATTCCTCATCCATAAGTCTATTGTCGCGGTCTTACAATCAACCAAAATAATAAATTAAAATGAAAAATCTTTTATCTGTCAATTTATTTCTTGTACAACAACGATGAAAATAAAAACAACAATAAAAATTAATTGGCGCTCCAGGGCGACTTCATTGATTCCAGTGGCGCTTTTGCTTTTTCAGCTGCAGGAAAACCCGGAAAAACCTGCAGCACCACATCATCTGAAGATCTTGATGTGCCAATGTCCTCTCTTTCATAAAACAAAATGTAGGGTGTCTCCAGAGACTCCAATAGCTTCAATACATCGCCATTCCGTTTCGTCTTTGACCAAGGCGTATTAATGACCAAATTCAACGCCAGAACCACAGTGAACAATGACTGACATGAATATTATAATAGTTAGGTCTACTAGATTGAAATGTTCATCTATTTCGAACCTTCCAAAGAGTTTCTTGCTTCCGTCAGAGGTTGAGTCTTGTTTGAAGATCATCAGTGTTATCATTAGATTGACTGGTGCCTCAGCTATACTTGTTTCCTCATAAAAGTCAGTTAGTTTGGCGCATGTTTGGCAATAAAGTCGATCATCACCTGTTGAAAATTCCATTTTCAGATGATTCAACAATAACCTTTGCACGGACTGGTTAATAGTCATATTAGTAAACGCTAGGTGAAGTTCCAGAAATTCACATAAGTTGTGAACATTCACTACCAAGTAAACAAGTGGGTATTTTTCCAGCAAAAGATTTACACACACAAGACGAGATGGACTCTATGGAATCATTCATTCCAGAGCGGTAGGACTATTGATTTTGTTATTGTTTTGCTCACGAAGAGTATTCAACAAGAACCCCAAGGATTCGGAACAATCCTCTTGTTGTCCTAACGAGTATCTAGTGGACTTCAAAGACTCCAGACTCCAGGAAATTGGTTGGAGAGAAAGATGATGCATTCTTACGAAACTGCAGCTGCATGAACAAGTGTTTGAGTTTGATGAATGAGTAGGAAACATTCCCGTTCTCGTTCATCATTAAAACCACATTCTTGAAATTCTTTGTCATGAACAACACTTGTAAAATGCTATTAATGTCACAAGTGTTTCCTAAATTATCCAATCCAATTTTCTCCTCCTCTAGATTTTCAGGACAACTCTGTACTGTTTCGTAAGGAAGAACATGTTTCACAGAGTCTCCATAAGAACCATTTCTCAAGCTACGATCAATCCTTCCAAGTGAAGAAGGATTTCGTAGAGAGATCGATCCGGCTCTTGCTTCACGAAGCTCTTCCACTGAAAGGCAACCAGAACTACGAGGACTGCAACTCATATTTGGGGGGCAAGAATGACCTGAGTCCATTGAAAAAGAAGAAGGTGTATCAATCACTTGTGAAATAACCTTGATACGAGACTGATGAATATCCATATTCTCGGCTTGTTTCGAAGAGATTTCAGTTCCGTAGTGAAATTAGGGCAATGGATGATCTCGTCAAAATTGGGTGAAGGAGGAATTGTTCCAAGGACCGAAGCAGCATTGCCACATTGAATAGCAATACTAATTATTTCTATCAAAAAAGAGGTAAAGCGCTGATCTTTCGTTGCTTGGCCTATTCTTCTTTCAAGTTCATGAACGAATAACAGACACCAAAAGTTTCAACCGCTACTGGATGGAACAGATAGTTGTTACCAAGATTGTGATATTTTTTTCTTTACAATTTCTCGCCAGACAATGCTGCGGTTCCAGCAGACTTCGAACTTCCGGCCAGATGGGAAGCCGCGATCGTATCAACGCAAGTGAAGTCCCATACCACAAGTTTACCGTATTTTCATGGTATGAGAGACATACCATCTGGTCGTTTACCGTCATCTCGACTGGTACCTAAGGGTTCCAGAATTGCAGGAACATCCACTGACAACATAGCTCGTTTCAATATGTTGTTCACTTAGTGATGTCGAGATATACGCCCTGCACTTCTTCTGCAACTTCAACCATGTGTACCTTTCTCATCAACCATACTACCGCAAAAACAAGTATGAGGCACACAAATAGATGAACCCATCCTAAGTCCTACTGCTATTCTGAAAGATTCATCGTCTAATAGTGTTCCAAAATGGTAATTCATCAATGAAAACCTATATCAAATTCAGATATTTGTAGAAAAGTATTATATCTATATACATGTGTATATTGTACAATCACACATGAAATTAAAAGAGACTCCATACCAAACCAGAGATGAATTTTCATTTTAGCCACCACACACAAAAAACATTCCCGAGTGTTTCGTCATAGTCCTCGCTACTTCAACGATATCCATATCTTGCCAAAACCTTGGCGGACGTGGCAACACCGCCAACGATATCGACTAGGTTCGCATAAAATACTTGGCGCTTGGTCCGTAGTTTCCCCTCAGCTGCAGCGTCATGGCTAGCACAAATTTCATTGATTTTGTGTGTAATCCTGATTCCACGTGCACTATGGACGCATGCTTCATGGCGTTTGACAAGAATTGGTAAATACTACTGTTTACTTATTACGTAGTTCATTTTTCAACATTCTTGTTCGAAGGTAACAAAACACAAGTTCAACACCATGCAGTTTTTATAGACAAAATTGAAAATTTTGGCCTGAGGAAGTACCTGAATAGTCGAAACATGTTTTTATACTCAATTTTCAACGAACTGTCTTTTGTTACTTTCTGTTGTAAATTTTTCTCAAATACTTGTATTGTATACTTGTATATAAAACTATGAAGTATTGTAGATGTCCATTTCCAAATGTTTTGTTGGTGTAGATGTTTCTGAATCATATTTTGTGCGTGTTATTACCTCGGAGATCCGATAATAATCAGTTCATCACACAAAATACCCGGCATGTGAACTACGAGCAAACAAAATGAACTACTACAAATGAATATAGAGACACATCCTTAAAATCCAATAAGTAAAAAAATGAGTATTATTTCATGATAAAAACTTCTGGTGTGTACTCCATACTAATTCTTATCATGTTCCATTCGTTTGTTGTTTACTTTTTTTACTTCTTTTTGTACTTTTAGCTATAAAATCATCAATATGAAAACTTCTGTATTCAGTTTCACTTTACGTGATAGTTATTAAATTTTAAAATTTAAACAATGAAAACGATGTATTGGTATTGGTAGAAGGAGGATACGTAGGGTGTACCTCAACAAAATCCAAGTTGATAGAGCAGTGACATTGATCGAAGTAGGGTATTCTAGGCGTCGTGTAGCCCAAACGCTTAATGTGAGTCATTCTGCGGTTTCCAGAGCTTGGAATCGCTACCAAATTTACGTCATAGTGAAAAGAGCCCCTTATCCCAACAAAGGGCAACAACTCGCAGAGAAGATCCGTTTGTTACAACTTTGGCAATTTAGGGTCGCACCGATTCTTCTAAAACACTGCAAAATTGCCTTATAGAAACTACGGGAACGCGAATTTCAAACCAAACGATACGAAACCGACTTCACGAAGTACAACTTCATGCAAGACGACCTGCTAAAGCCCCTAGATTAACTACAGCTCATCGAGGAAATCGTAAAAACTTTTGTCAAGAGTATCGTAATTGCAATTTAGAGCAGTGGGCTAATGTAATGTTCACAGATGAAAACAAATTCATGTTATTCAACAATGACGAACGTGTTCGGTTATGGATGGGTCAGTGAACATTATTTGGATGACTGTGTGCAAGAAATTGTTCCATTTGGAGATGGGTCGATAATGGTATGGGCTGGTATAACTTTGACAGGATACACGGACCTTGTGATATTTCGGGAAGGAACTTTAACGGCTGTCCGTTACATAGAGGAGATATTGGAACCTCATGTCGTCACATTTGTCCAAAATATGGGCGCTGGGTTCATTTTACAACAAGATAATGCCAGGCCACACGTAGCCAGGGTCGTGAGAAATTTCCTACAGGAGCACAATGTTAATGTCATGAGATGGCCAACTAATAGTTCGGATTCAAATCCTTTTAAGCAGCTCTTGGATGAACTGGAAATACGTTTGAAGGATCATCAACTCTTCCAAAATCTGAACCAAGTTGCAGATGCTCTTTTGACGATTTACAAGCAGTTACCACAACAAATAATTAGAAATTTTCAAAGGCTATCAATGTCTCTTTCAAATTTTGTACTTAATTCAGTATGAAATAATGTTATAAGTTAATGACAAGTCAATATCAACTGTCAACAAAAATTATTGCAATTCCATTTTTTCCAAACGAAAGGTCATCATTTCCAAGCACTTGTTAGACCTTGAAAAGGACACTAATGAAAATGAGTACAATTCAAAAGTTCAATCACTAACTCTTCACTCTAACTAGTGTTCAAAATAGTAATTCTCCTACTTCGATGTAGAAGTAGACATTTCGCACTTTCTGAAACATGATGCGTTGACGTGAAACATTTGAAGTTGCTGTTTCAGTTTGTGTTCAATTGACCACATGAAGAATCTAACAGATACAAATCGGGTGATTCTGCGGGCAACTCCGCTGACCCTATTCAACCAAACTATTTAGCAGGTGAAAAATCAAATTTAAGAATGTTTGTCATTTTCTATGAAGGAGAATGTCAGTGTCCGGAATGTTGATGATTCATCACTCCTCTTTTCAATGGAAATTATCAAGATTTGTGTATATTACATGCGCCAAAGTCAAAGCTACATTGTGAACAATCAAATTTTTTCCTAAACTCCAACTAAATCGATCTTATTCAGTTCTTATTTATTAGATTCCAATGAAAAATCCAATGTTTTAATGTTATCTGATGACAAACATCTTGTTAACAAATATGTATTATGCGGCTTTAGCAGAAGTATACTCCAAAGAAAGTATAAATATTTCCGATTGCGTGACTCATATCAATTTCGATGAGAATTCATAATGGAGTAGTCTTCCTTACTCTCGAATCCTGGGCGATACCTTTGACACCGTATCTTTTAAGAGGTAGTGCGTAGATTCTATTTTGCCATTCAAGTCATTGAATTCACTTTGTGGGAAATATTTTTCTCGTGTAATTTGTTAAAAATCAATAAACTCTACTATCGATCTGTTTCAGTGATGGAAAACTAAATTTGGATGAATTCAGGGTTCTTTGTCAAGCCTTATTCAGGAACAATAGCGGCGTGACCTACGAACTCAAGGACTATGAGTTGCGAGATATCTTTACGATTTTTGATAGCAATCATGACGACTTTATTGATAGAGATGAATTCACCTATTGCTGGAACAATTGGATCAAAGTGGTAAGATTGTCAAAATCCTGAAACTATTGAATTTTTGTGTTTTGTTGATACTAAAAACCATTCGGTGAAATTCAGAATCTTTTTTTTAAAGCAGTAGTCTTTGGATGGCCAAAACTTTTCTGAATATAATTTCCATTAGTTATATGCATTTGAGAGAAATACTGAAGTAGATCATACTACTGTAGTGGACTTGAGAACACGTGATAGAAATGGGCAATTACTTCACTGATAGCCAGGAAATCCCCTGTTGCTGGAATAACTGGATTTGAATGAAAGACTCATGTTTACATCTCTATGACTTTCAGAAGATTTGTTTTATTGTATTAAAAAATCTTATGGTGAAATTCAAAATCATTCCAAGACACCAATATGTCTTGGCACAATCATGTTGCTGGAATTGAAAATGCTGCTTCTGAAAAGCTTGAAACACTGTTCCGAACCAGAAAACTATACACACCTCAGCAACCTTTGATGCTTCATAAAGCTCAGATCAGACCTTCTTTGGAGTATTGTTCTCACGCCCAAACATACCCTGAAGTTTCTGGATTCCATTCAGAAAAGAGTCATCCGCCTGATTGGAGACGCGATCACGTGCAACCTTGATAGCCTGGAACATCGAAGAAAGGTTGGAGTTTTGTCTCTTTTCTATAGATACTTTCATGAGAGGTGTTGGGAGTGACTTGGCACATTTAATCCCACCAAGAGCGATACATATCAGAAATACGCGACGGATTGTGGCTGCTCATCGTTTCATAGTTTTGAGGTTCAACTCAGTACATCTAGAACTCCATTGTTTGAGAACTCTTTCATATGGACAACTTTGTTTATGAGGAATAAACTTTCTGAGAACGTTTTTCCAAATGGATTTAATCTCCAACGATTCAAATCCAATGTGAATCGCTTATTTCGCACAGAAGATTTTCCTGTAGTGCTTGTGTTTTGTTCTAAAAAAATCCTGTTTGGGAGCAGATGTCCTATGTCGCTGTTAGTCTGAAATAATCAACATAGACTGTGTTTTCACTGCCTTAGTCGTTATTAAAAAACCCACAATTCATTTATTGATTCTCCTGTTCGGAGAAACGATATAAATGAAATATACTCAAGATACAGAGACTAGAATCCACAGCTCAGACGAGATGGTGAGATCAGCAGGATATCGTAGAAACCATGAAACAAATAGTGATGACCGCAAAAAAATAAAACAGAATCAAGTGCTTCAAAATAGACCTGAATGGAAAATATAGATTCTGTTACAGTTAGAATGTACTGCTACAGGTATGTAGGCATGAAGTTCCATAGATAAATTCGTTAGTCTTAAGAGAAAAGTGAAGTATACGATCTCCAGAATATTGTTTAGGAAACGTTTCAGGAAATCACAGAAGATCCATATTGAATGAGTACGAAAGCTTCTGAAATTAGATTTTCATTATTTGCGGACCATTTACCGCCTTTCAGCAGCAACAATACAAAGCACATACTTTGTGCATGCCCCGCCACGAATCTAACAGTATTTGCTGTTTCTCTCTTGCCATATGATATGATAGATTATTCACCAAATAAACCAATCGGCTTCGTTTAGGAGCTGAACTCAATTGGTAGAGTTCATTCAAAAATACTCACTTATCTAAATTGTTCTTTATCTTTATAATTTTGTTAGAGTAAATTTTTATACTCCTTGTACAACCTAAGGTGTACAGTGATCCATTGGAAGCAATTTTGCTATTTTTTAACTGGTGTGTAAGCGAAACATTTTTTCATGATATTTCTTCAGGTAAGATTCATGACACGTATGTCAAAATGTTGAGAAAAATTGTTCAGGATAAAGAATTATGATTCTATACAAAATTTCCGAAACATTCAGGTATTTTGTTTTGGGGACCATTTTTGAGGTGTGACTTAATAAAGTGTATATAATCGACAAGAGGATTCGATCCTGGAATATCAGCTTCAACATCGATCGCTGAATAAGATTCGTTCTTTAGTGCAACTTTCACTGCGAGACAGTTAGATAAACTTCTGATCTAACACCAAACAGAGCTAATTACTGGATACAAAAGGATACGTAACACGTTATACCATTATCTATTTCAGAGCGTATAGTTGGTATGAGAGGTGTTCCTGATGACATTACCATAGAAACATTTTATAACGTGAGAAATGAATTAGTAAACTAACCTCATGTTGTCAGGTAATGAATGGCGAAGAGGGTTCTGAATACATTTTTATTGAAATCATGATATTTATCGTTAGAATATTCTCGAAACGTATAAAAATGTGCTCTTTATTCAGAAAGAGCGAATATCCGATCCAAAATCAAAAAGTTTTGACTAGAGAATTGAAATACCAATCAAAAGAGGTATCACTAGACCCCATTTCCATTCCATAAAAGAAAATGATAGCGACGAGTTATGCACTATTGTCTTTTTTACCAGAAATACTAACACTGATACATTTCTACGTACATTTCGTTTCAGTAAGATCCTACTTGCCCTCTTCATGTGTTCTGCTTGGTAGCTGAACTTGAAGCTAGTTCAGCTATTTGACAGACAGTTTATGTGGAGGACTTGTTTCTTATTATTTTTTGTGTGTATAACCTTCCACACTTCTTCTTCATACTTCAGCAGATTCATTATTGATTCAACTTCGGCAAAATGGTTGAAAGTTATGCGGCTGAGGTTTTTAGTATCACTATTTTTCAGATTGTCGATTTTTTGACTTAATTTCTGACGTTTTACTGGGCGAGTGGCTAGCTTCTTCAGATGACTGGATGTTACTGCTATTTAAGTCGTATTTATAGTGACTCAGGTTGTTTGGTGTGTACCTGAATTACGTGAATTGTGAACAACATTCTTGAACTTATCACAATGGGATTACATATTCGGTTGAGGTTCACAGCTTCTTCTTTCATGTTGAAATAATCCGTGTGTTTGTACGTGTATATTGCCTTCCGTACTAGTCGACTATGGTATCCCTGGTTGGGGGCAACAAGTTTCGTGTTTCAGAACAGAATCCAGTGGTTTCCATCACTGAGTGCGTGTTTCGACACAACTGACTTATCCGTTTGGCCTAGCATGTCCCTTCGCCCTTGTTTCCATGGATTTTCTGGTGATTGTGATGTATACCTTCCCACACGTGTACCATCTACGATATACCCCTGCTGCTGACAGTGGGTCTCTTTTATCTTTAGCTGACCTGAGACTTTGTCGTATATTCTTGGTGGGTTTGAAAACCGTTTTGATGTTGTGTTATCCCAAGAGTTTTCCAATTCTGTCAGTCACCCTAGAGATATATGGTATATATACAAGTCAGTTCCATGGCCTTGTTGATCTCTGGTACACTGTATCCATTCGATCTCAAGGTCACTTGAAGGTGTTCCAGTTCTTCCTAGAGATGCTCTGGTTCACATATTCCCCAAGCCCGTCACTTAGAGTAGAGATGACTCCTCTCTCTTGACTAGGGTGGTGGTTTTATAGTGCGTGCAGATATCTATCAGAGTGTGTGGGTTTCCGGTACACTTCGTGATTTAGTCTAGCACCACATTGTTCGATGAGCACATCTAGAAATGCTATCCGTTGGTCCTGTTCAGTCTTCATGATGAACTTGATGCTGGGGTGTTGAGCGTTCAAGTGGTCTAGAAAGAGGTTTAGAGCTTTCCTTCCATGTTAACAGATGACGTGACGTGACGTAGCCAAATTTTGTTAATTTTTTCGAAATGTGAAAGTTCTATTCCAGAAAAACAGTAAGAAACTTTGGAATATAATAATTGAAAGATATTGGAATAAACTCATGTCACTAGAGATTTTTCTCAATCTGATTTTTGAACAAAAAGTTCCTAGATGTATGGAAAATATCTACATTCTGGCTGTTAGGTTAGATTATGTCCAAAGTTTATTAGACCCTCCACCGCAACCACACTCGACCAAGTAAACTCAGCTTCTTAACGAAGCCGATTAGTTTGCATGGTGAGTGGTCTTTCAGGTCAGATGGTAAGAGTACGGCTCTGCCGAATTCTAAAAACATGATTCGGTCTCCAGCGGGGCAGGCACAAAGTATATGCTCTGCTGTTTCATAATTCTGAAACTTGTAGTGAATTTCACATCTTCTCAGAGAACAATATAATCTGATCTCTCTTTGAATATTCGTGGCCTTCTGGGAACTTTTGCCATACTTATAAATGGCTTCTTCCTCATCTGATAGGAGTTTCTCGAATACTCGTATGTCGACAAAATCATCAATCATAATATCTAACTTATGGAAAATATAGTAAGAGAAAAAAGTAACGCATCCAATCACCAACACACTGAGAGAAACCATTTGAATATTTCAAATCCATACCAATTCCCACATTGTAGGATAATAACATTTTCATACCTCTCTCTACCTCTCACAACATGAATAAATTTTACCTACATCATTCTTCGACATGTCACCGACTGTGGACAGTAATATTTATTAACATTTCCGTGGATAATATGCATGCCCAACCCGATCTGTAGTCCACCTTCTGCTCCATCCATCATGAGGGTTGATCCAAAAATTCTCCTTTGATCAGAATCTGTTATCTTTTCAGCTGTCAAATCTTTTCAGTTGTCGAATCCATAGTTTAAACTCAAATCGTAATTGAAACTTTACCTATAAAACAAGCCCTATCAATCGTTACCCTGTATTGTCAAAAGCAGGATCATTTACGATTTCACGGATTTGAGGCCCAATAAAGATGCCTTCCTTGACTTTAGCATCACTCAACCTGGGAAACTTTGCTCTCAAGTACTTAAAAGCACATATCTATTATTATTATCAGTAGTTCGTTCCAAAGGTCCCGCCCCGAGAGTAGCTTACGTAACTCTTCGACCCAGTTTGATCAAACTTCATAATTAGGGTTTCTATTTGGCGTCCGACCTTTGATGTTTAATTACTTTGTCTGATATAACTTTGGGGTGAATCGGTTTTTGTGCTTCAATTCAAATTGCTAAAGGTCAAAATCGATACATTCGCACCAAAACTAACGACCCAAATACCACTTAAGTAGCGGTACAAGGAAAAAACAATATACTCGGTTCGTAAAGGAGCCAGAACGAAAAAATAGTTTGCCAACTTCTGCTTCAATCAATATGCGCTGCCGTGATTCGGAATTATTTTTCATTCTCTGGTGATTACATGTATAGGATGGTTTTATTTGGAGTAAGCCTTGAACTCGACGTGATGAACAGAGTTATTTTGGCGTCTTTCGGAACATACAGTTCTGAAGTTAAATCAATCTTGGATGGATACATTGCAGTTGTGGATGCTCCAATTTATTATCTCTAATACATTTCATCTTTCAGAATTATAAATAGAAATCCTTCAAACCTTCCGAGGGTTGCCCAGGGTGATCCTAACAAGATTGCATCCTTTGATTTCATCCCATCTCTTTAGGGATTGAGTATGGGTGTAACATTTGGCTAGTTCCGCAATTGTCGAAGTCATCAGGCCGTAGGGTCATAAAATTCTCAGTCCAGCCGTTTCCTTGGCTGAAGAGTCGGCAATGCGATTACCTTCACTCCTGTCGTGCTCTTTAACCCACCCCAGGATAATGTTATTATCTATCGAGGCTTTGGCTGAATCTTGGTGATACTTCAGTTGTCTGTTCAAGGCTAATAGGGTTTGTCTGCTGTCAGTGCAGATTGTTATGTTTTTTGCCAGAAATTTCTTTCCTGGTTATTTCTTTTGTGGCGATAGAGATACCAGCCAGTGCTGTTTGGACCACGCTTGTATTTTTTCCCATTCCCCACCAAATCCTCAGGCTTAGTGATCTGGAGTACACTCTACGTCCTGAGCCTTCTTAGATGTTATTTCTATGTTCTGAAATTACTCAATACTTCCCAGAAACATGGATATTGATATCTAAAAAATTTTTTCAGAGGGAGAAAAAGCAGTTAACGATGTTGACGACTTTATGAAATCGCAATAGAGTTGGAATACTTTCATGGATGATAGTTTTCGAAGATCTATTTTATTTTTTCATCGCCTGTTCATCCTACCAAAATAATAATCAGTTTTTCAGTATGAATGTGTACACAGTATTTTTTGAGTAAGCACTCTTTCTGATCAATCACGAAGACCTGCAACATCTCGGTGCTGCGACCAATAATATCTTCCATACATTCAATCTAGTCGACACTTGGAATGCTGAAGTTGTTAATACGTTCCCAAAGAGAACTTGCTTGATTTCACAGGACTTCTCACTTAATACTTGACCTTGTACACCCCCAAAGCGATTGTTCTGCAGTTTAGTTAGTACTGTAACTGAGAAGCGTCAACTGTTATTACCTGTACTGCCCTTCTTACAGAGATGACAACTCAGCTGACAGTTCCTTGCAAGAAGCCAGATTTTTGAGCAGCCCTACAGACTGTTCAGCTTTCTTTAGCATTAGTCTGAATCATTGTCGAAATTTCTTCATAAAGTAGCTCTTCGAGGGGTTGCAGAAAGGTCCGGTCTAGATAAAGAACTGGCATCTCTTTTTGCGAAGGTACCACCTTACTCATTTTCATGAGTTTGCTATTGACATGGCCCAGATCAACGTTAGTTGATTGATTAAATTTTGGTGTTGTTACTTTCATGATAACCCTTGAAACTTCACCAGTTACAATAATTATATGTCAGTCAGACACAAATTCATGCTGGCAATACGTCCCTAGATTTTGACACTGATTTCGCAGATATAAGATCTAGAATCTTCGTGTTGGTTAATCTGGAAGACAATCATTGATGTTTCTTTTGTTCTTCGTTAGACAACCATGTAATGATGTATAATAGCAATTCTGAAACACGTAGAAACCGCCAAATAATAGATCACGTTGTTAAGAAAGTAGTTGTTTATTTTTCGTCACTATATCACTGAGGCATGGTGAGACACAGTATCATTTCTGTTACAGATCGTACGCCCAATCTCAGCCATCCTCATCATCGATGTCCAGAACGACTTCATCTGTGGCACTCTAGATATCAGTAAATGTCCAGCGAAACAAAATGCCGAAGAAGTTATCCAACCAATCAACAGTTTGCTGGATACTCTGGAGTTCGACGCTATTTTCTATTCGTACGATTGGCACCCAAGCGATCACGTGTCGTTCTTGGACAACATCAATTTGAGAAAGCTGCACGAATCGAGTCCGAAGAAAGACCCCGAGACAGTTCAGTTATATGACACGGTGGTTTTTGAAGGGGAACCCCCCGTGACGCAGAGAATGTGGCCGAGACATTGTGTTCAGAATACTTGGGGCAGTGAGCTACACAAAGATCTCAAGGTAATCATTCAAATATAGAAATATATCAAAAATATATCGAAACAGAAACACGTATAAGGTAAATTTGAAACTGATGAACGTGACGAGGTGCTACCGCTTCTTTCGCACAGGCACCGCTCTTAGAACGCTTTGAGAATTTTTCTGAAGTACTTGTGTTTTGCTCTCAAAAAAAAAGACCTAACCGTGTAAGGAATCACACGTTAAAGGGTAAGACCTCGTTAATCCTTATCTCGCGCAAGTTTCGACTTCTGAGGGTTGTCGTTCATAGGGGTGCGACAACTGGTTAACGGAAAAACAGATTTTAAACAGATTTTTTTTTAAACTACCATTTCCCAACTCCTGGCATGGCATTGCTAGTATTGTTCATTTTTCTCAGTAGGTATTCAATATTCGCAGATCATTTTTTGTTTTTTATAGTCGTTCCATTTTGTAGCTCAGGGCAAAACTTGGAAGAGGTGGAACACTGATAAAAATTTGAGAATGAAGTATAAGGTGACCCGAAAAATATTGTTTTTGCTAAATACCGGTCAAATAATGATTCTTGTAAGAATAGCATTACGAGAGTGGTCTGAAAAGTTTTCGACCTCAACATGAACATAAGTTAGGTTAGGTTCAAATTGAGTGAGTCGATTCGACCCTCCACCGCAACTCTCAAGGGTTGCTGTTATTGTGGCTCACAACAATTCACACTCGACCAAATTAGTTTGTATGGTGAATGGTCTTTCAGGTCAGATGGTAAGAGTACGGCTCTGCCGAACTCTAAAAACCTGATTTGGTACCCAGCGGGGCAGGCACAAATTACGTGCTCTGCTGATTCATCATTGTCCAAACAGAGGTGACACACACTGTATTCTGACTGTCCGAGTCTCTGCATATGACGATGCAAATAACAGTGACCTGTGTGAAGGCCTGTTAGACATCGTAATTCATCCTTAGTACTGTCAATGTGGTTTTGAGGTTTTGTGGACTGTAATTGAATCAAATGGCACCACATTCACTACTAACGCTCTATTGCGAAAACTAACAAAATATAAAATAAGAAATGTGTTCACTGTAAAGATTGTATATTGCAAGTGTCTTTGTCTTGGGGTGTTGAGATGACAAAGGGACCCTTCAGCAGGTAGCGGTGCATGGAGGGGTAGGCGCTGGGTGTTTAGCGCCCGGTTCTTCGGTGTTGCCAATATTCAACATAGCCCCCGCCTTGAAAGAACCACCTTCTTTCAATGAAAAACTATCTGCTTTGGGAAAAACACAGATTTTGGAAAAGGCTCGTCGCAAGAGGCCTACCTTGGTCCGGATCGTGGCCACTCTAGAACTACCATCTCTTCCAGGATGCACGATTCGTCCGAGGGCCCATTTGAATGGAGGGAGATCGTCATCCTTGATTACGACCAAGTCATCCTTCTTTAGTGCCTCTTGGTTGGTTCTCCACTTGGTACGCACTTGGAGCTAGCATACATACACCGAGGGCCAGCGCTTCCAGAAATGCTGTTGGATCTGCTGAATTCGCTCATAGTGTTTCAACCGGTTGTTACTATAGCACTTCCCGTTAACATATCATCAACATAAAAATGGTGCTCAGTCACCTCAGCCGCCGCGGCATCCCCACATTCAACCCCTAACTGATAGAGACAGCGTATGGCTAAGAAGGCAACAAAGGAAGTGCCGTAAGTGACTGTCATTAATTCGTAGGTATATGCTGGATTTTCGGGATGCTCTCGCCAAAAAATCATTTGCAGAGATCTCTGAGTAGGGTCGACTAGGCACATGCGATACATTTTCTCAATGTCACTCGCAACCACGAAATTGTGTTTCCTATAGAGAAGTAGAATCGAGAACAAATTCGACTGAATAATCGGGTCGACTAATTGCAGGTCATTTAATGAATATCCGCTTGTGGTTAAACAAGAATAATCGAAAACCACCCTGAGCTTAGTTGAAAGGCTGGCTTCTTTGATGACTCCGTGATGTGGCATATAGTAGACGTTTTTTGCGGTATCAGGTTCAGTGACCTTCACCATATGTCCAAGTGCACGATATTCATCAATGAATTTCCTATACTGATCGGCAATGGTATGAAGATTTTGCAATTTCCGCTCTAGCCTCAGGGTTAAGGGTTTTATATTTTGAGTTAAAATAAAACTCTTAACGAACAAACATATTTGTGTTGGTCTCCACTTTTGAATTTATAAAGATGACAACGCAATTAATCACAGTTTGAAGTTTATGTAGTTGGTATTAATGAATGTAGGTATATTTCTCATTACCTACTCTCGGATATATATACTCCGACTTTTTAGCCGCTTCCTTGGCTAAAAAGTCACCAATGCGATTACCTTTAATCCTGTTCATTTTTGATGTATTTTCTCATCAATGAAAAATAATGTGATTATTTCAAAGTCAATAAAAACTGCAAAGGAACTGTAAACAAGAAATCAACGAACAATTTTATATGCATGTCACGTGCACAACTAAACTTCAACTTGTCGAAGCATATCTGCGAAAGAGCTATCGATAATGATACTCCGGAGCGTTCGGAAATATCTAAAATGGTTTTATGAGGAACGACAAACTCCATCCAGAAACTTCCGCTATCTCATATTTTCCACAAAAGAAATTTCGCAGCGCCGACTTTCTTTAACTTCTGCAATCGTGAATCGACAAATCACCCCAAAACTCACATATGCGAGGATACAAGTCATCCTCAAACTCCCGGGACGCCAGACAAAGGGGTGATGGCTGAAGAAGTTCATAATCTTGAAAGTTAAATTAGTTTCGAACGTCGCGTGGATTCATATAATAGATACCTTAATCCAGTTTGTGAGTTTGTTGAGGAGTCGTCGTAAACTTCACGAGCGGCAATAAATTTCTTGCAGCAAGTTACATTGATTTCGTGTAATACATAACAAATAGCGGCGACGAGTTTGAACTTCAGGTTTGTTGAGTTAACGGTGTCATGTACTTCACGTTTCCAGGAGTAGTTAACAAGAAAGTTAGAAGGGTATTCAAACGATGCGATGTACACTGGAGTTTTCACTTGTAACTTATTAGTTCTCCGTTCCATCTCTCACATAAATTCCTTTGCAGCTAATGTCTCTGATTAATGCGAAATAGAAGGGTATCATCTCCACCAGAAGGAAAATTTAGTGACTGGTTTTTATGAGGAAATTGCATTCCTAGCTGCAGAAAGTTTCAGACACTTCTGAGGCGACTAATTTTTTGGCCATGAAGATGGATTGAATACTGTGAAAAACTTGGGAAGATCCTTCAGTTGCTTGACAGACAATATGTTCTAGTTTGATTTGAGTAACAAAATGAATTTAATAACTACTCACTCTTCTGAAAGTCGAATCTGGTGTACCTATATACGATTGTGAAAGATCTCAATGAAAATTCAATCTTTCCTATCTCAAGAGTAAAACGAAAAGAAAAAAGATTATATTTCCTTTCAGCGAAGCCTTAACAAGATCGAGTTGAACTATATTCTATCTAGAGAGATAGGTGGCAAAATGTCAAGGGATATTTTGGAGGTATGACTTTAAGAAGCTCATGTTCAAAGCATCAAGACAAGTAATGTGAAGGCTGAAAACTAACAAAGCTACTAGACGCTAGATGAGTTTCTATTGTTTCAAGTTGGAATCGGCGAGATTTTCCATGGCTCCTTGGTGGTTTATTGTATCAAACAAAGAAGAACCTGAAGTGAGACAATTGGATCCATTTGGAAAAACGTTTTCAGGAAGTTTATTTCATATAAACGCAGTTCTCCAAATGGAAGAGTTCTTGAACAGGGAAGTTCGAGTTGTGATGAGTTAAACCTCAAAACGATGAGCAGCCACAGTCCTTCGCGTATTTCTGATATGTACCACTCTTGGTGGAATCAATTGTGCCAAGTCACTTGAACACTTTACGCGAAAGTATCTATACAAGTGAGACAGATCCCCAACCTTCGCCTTGGATTAAAAATAAATATTGTAGAGGATTACATTCTCTGCATCTTTTATTTGAAAACATTTTTTATTTTCGAAATAGATCGCAGAGATGGCGCAGTGTTTAACTATTCAGGTGATTTTTGTTTCCTTCACAGCCAAATTACCTTCAATAAACTCTGTATAGATTCCAATTCCACTTTCCATTAACAAGGTATACAGTTTTCCATCGTGCATAATTTGTGTGGTCATAGACCTAAAACTATGTCCACATTTGATTGATTTTTATCACGTCATGAAACAAAAATGTGTTGAGCCAAGAACATGGGCTGACGTAAGCATGGAATTTTCAATTGAGTCTGTGGCAAGAACTGAGGCAAAAACACGTTTCACCAAGAGTCAGGTGGAATTTTAGAACGCCATAATCAAGATCAACCAGCATGTTTCATTCTGAAAAACTGGAATAACTGTTCAAGTGCTGTACTTGAAGCGGGGGCTAACAATTTCTATCCATACTCATGATTGGAAGAGAAATGAAATTACTGCTAGTCATTGAGTCATTAAATCATCAAGTTGGCACGCATTCTTTATGTACATGCTGAATTCATTTGCTTTTTTTGAGGTTGAACATTTGAATATTGATGCTCTGATATCTGCCGGTATTTCGATTATTATCGTTTACTTCAATTATTGTTCCGGACATGGTGTTTTCAAGATATTTTGATACTCTTAAATAGTACCACTCACAATCCCACTTGATTTTCCCTGTCGATAGTGTTGAGTCTCCCATGAAAAAACAGAAGTGCCCTTCTTTCCATAGACATAACTCAATATCATATTCGTACATATACTGTCCGTAGTCATTTCAAACTGTTCTAACTATTCTAATGTGACTTTTTTCAGTAAATCATATTAAACGATTGATTTGGTTTCCAGGTAGTGGAAAATGCGACAAAAATTTATAAAGGTACGAATCCCGAAGTTGATTCCTACTCAGCGTTCTGGGACAATTCCAAATTGACAGATACAAAACTAGCATATCAACTGAAGATGCGGAACATCACCGATGTGTACGTTTGTGGAGTGGCGTATGACGTTTGTGTCGGTAAGTTAAACTTCTGATATACGAAACAAAGTCGCAAAATAACCATTGAAGTATTTTGAAAATTGAGAAATCCGGTTTTTGAGGTTTTGATAGTGGTGAGCACGCAAAAAGAATTGCAATTATGACATATGTGATATGCGCATGAATAATAATTGTTATGTCATAAAAAGGCAAAGTCAGCAATATCCACAATAAAGTTATTCAAAATGCAATCTTTCACATCGAAACTGTAATGCAATTATACTGCGCAGTATTGCGAATCAATCCACTGCAGATATAGAAGAAATCGCACCAGAGAGGCTCCATGTTGTGCCGCCAGGTGTTTTTTTGCATAACTGAATGACTGTTGATAGTGGAAAAATACCATGTACAATATACCATGTACGATATATTTTCTACTGCTTTTTGTATGAATGTACTATTTTAGTAACCAAAATCTACTGTCGAGCAAGAAAATGACCTGGTAACCTGGTCGTGCTAGTATGACTCGACTTCATAATTTACAAAACGTATCAAAAGTCATTATAACTTATTTAGCAACTTGATTCAATTCAACAGCGGTACACATTTTACTGAGTCTGTTAATTAAATATGGTTTCTGTTCTATATGGATATTAATCTGAATATTCACATAGAATATCAATAATAAACTGCACTAATTTGAGCGAGATTTATTGATAACTTTTAACATGACTGATCTACAAGTCGACCACCGTCATGGGTCGGGAATCGAGGTACAAACATATAATAAATATGGTTTAAAAATTTAAAAAACTTCTTTATGTACATGCTGAATTCATTTGCTTTTTTTGAGGTTGAACATTTGAATATTGATGCTCTGATATCTGCCGGTATTTCGATTATTATCGTTAAAAAAAATACGTACAGCGCCGTCTGCCAGCGAATAGATCAAGCAATAATGTCGATATATCAAGTAGGTTACGTAGAGCGTCATTAGCTCGCGAATAGATCAAACAATAATGTCTATAATTCAGTCAAATACAGATCCCGAGCTTGAGAGAAACAAACAAACATACATACATACAGGTAAAGCTAATATAAAAAGTGTAAAAAGAGAGCTAGTTTTTATACCAATATATGGAGTCCCGATACAGGGTGATACAAATACACATATATAACAGTTTCATTCAACATTTATTCAAGATTCCAAAAATATGCCTTCATTGCAAACATTAAAAATGCTGAGTCATCTTCGGAATCTCACGCAAGGTCACTTTCTACGCCAATACCTGAGTACCATCGTAAATATTATATACTTAGTATAATACTTTGTCACTCATTATGACTTGATGATACATTTGAGTTGAGTCCCTTATATACCCTGTTTGCTTTAAGGCATTATAAGGCATGAAAATTGGGTCCTCGGGGATCGATGAAATTGACGAAGGCAGTTTTTGCTTGACCGTTTTTGCGGAGAGTCATCAAAGTGTTAACAAGAAATCTGTGGAGTATGGTGAATGAGGCAGAACTTTGACGATTAATTCGTTCAACATTTGGATGTTGATTTATAAAACGTGCGGACGCGCGTTGTCGTGGAGCAGTATCAGATCTCTTTTGTTGACCAGTGCTCACTGCTGCTGACACAATTTTCGGTACATTTCGTCGATTTCCTCACAAAAAAACTCTGCTGTGGCCCGGTTGCAGAAAGTTATAGTGAATAACACCAGCCGCTGACCACCATAGACTAACCATGGTCTTTTTTTGTTGAGTTTTCGTCTAATGGAAGTGCCTGGGTGGCTCATCAATGTCCAACCACTGTTCTGAATGTCTGCTGTTGTCGTAGAGGATCTAGTTTTTCATCACACGTGATGATCCGATCCAAAAAAGGATCGTTTTGGTGGCGCAAAGGCCAAGAAGAAAATACTTCGCTTCGACACTTTCTGTCGATCTTTCAAATCGTGGGGCACCTAGTTTTTGAGCTTTTTGACTTTTCCAATACGTTTTAAACCATCAAAAACCGCAAGGGCGCTGACGCCCAGTTTCTTTAGCTACAGCTACAGAAACTCATGACATTGAAATGGAAAATACTGAAACAAGCTATTAGGTACAAATTATTTGATAGAGGTTCTTGGTATTTCTCTTCAGCATATTTTTCACCCTCTATATGAAGATTTCCAGGATATTGTCCTTACTCGTCCATTGGTTGCAGATTTTACCAATTTGTAGAATTTTCAATTTCATCGAAAGGAATTGCGTTGTTGAAGCTTCAAAACAAAATTGCTATGTTAGGTTTCGAAATATATTTGCATACTGCTCTAGATATCAGTCTTTATGAAAAAGTATAAGTATCTTTTGAAGAACTACACGATCATGAAAATGAATCAATGATTATAACATTGATTTCGTTGTTTCAGGCGCAACCGCAATTGATGCCATCTCCAGTGGCTTCCGTACCATCTTGCTTGATGACTGCTGTAGAGGAGTGGATTTGCTAGATATCGAAAAGACGAAGAATACTGTGATAAAGAACCATGGGGTAGTTGTCAACTCGAACCGTGTAAAGAATATGGTCGAGGGCAATGATCGAAGACCGGAGCTTGGATATAAATTAGCATTAAATCTAAAAGAACAAAAACAGAATTCTGTTTAGGAATATGTAACAGTACTTAAATGATTAAGAACAGTGTCTGACATTTGGCATTTGTTTATAGCTTTGTGATAATTAATGTATTTTGAAATTAGGTTCCAGAGATGTACTTATAGAGTAAGTGTTGATTAGATTGTTATTATGCGGTTGAATTTCGCATTCGCTCCTAATGCTTCCTCTTCAATTCCTAGAAATAGTAGAGTAGCTGTACAGAATCCACTGTGGCCATGAGTTTATTTAATCAGGACACAAAATAGTCACTGTGAATAAGATCGAAGGCTAACAATATCCTAATGTATCAATGAAATCATTGTATTCAAATCAATATCACCTGTTTGATACCAGTATGACGTTAGACTATGATATTCAACTAATGATAAGGTCTTGATTAAAACTTGAAATTTTATGTACAACAGAATATTACATGCTGTATGATCTCACAGAATACTTGTTTTGGAATAAGATGTCTGAAATGTTCTGCTCTTATGGTTTTTTTGATACCTTTTGAGTAGATACATTTTGAAAAGGTAGAAATAAACTTGAAATGATGTATTATTTCGATGACAAATTATTATATATAGTAAACTGATCTTAAATGGGTACTTATATTCTGATAAAAGCATTCAATATAAAGAATTATGAGAGCGACATTGTTTTTTATTATTTTTGATATTTCACGTCAAAATTCCTTTCATTTGCTCTAATACATTAATTTCAATATATCATAATGATGAATCTGTTGAACAATTTACATTCATTCTCTTCGCTTTGTCGTTTGTATTTACTTTATAATGCAGATGTTAAATGTTGCCTTCCCTATCTTATCTTTTGAAGGGGTCAAAGTAGTGTTTCTATCAACACTGTTTTACTTTTGAAAATTGAATCAGCCGAGCCTCAAATTTCATTATTGTCCAGAAGTTAATGGGTAATACTTGGAACAGTATATATTGGAATAAAATTTAGTGCGTAATGCGTTAAATGAATATAATGCAGTTGAATTGTCAGGAACGGTTGATTTGAAAAGAAAGAGTGATGAAAAGATAACTGAAATGTTAATATAGTGAGGAAACTCAAAAACTCCCATTCATATGAAAAAAAATAATACATCCTCTCGGTACAAATAGAACTGGAAATAATACATTCTTACGTAAATTTTGTCCGAATTTCGATATTGAATTACTGTAATGAACAACACGACGATACTTTGTCATTATTCTGTAGCATCTTGATAGATATATTGAAAAAGCTTCCGCTCCAGATACTCTTTTTATGAAAATCAGTGCGGTTGATTTATGAATGAAATCATATGCGCGTCTACTATACCGCGAGTATAAGATTTCAGAGTTGTCAACTGGGTGACTCAAGGTGTCATTTACAAAACAAATAATTCAGTTTCTAGATGTGACAATGTAAACTCAACTGAATTGTTTGTCTTTCGAATAGATACCCAATGGGTTCGGCAGAATCTACACAGATTGTTCAGAAATTCTGAAACTTGTAGTGAATTTCACATCTTCTCAGAGAACAATATAATCTGATCTCTCTTTGAATATTCGTGGCCTTCTGGGAACTTTTGCCAAAAAAATCCTCCCTTGTTTACTTTGTAGTAAATGTTCAAGAAGTATCAAAAACGTATGTGAATTTCTGGAACTTCAACTAGCGTTTCCTAGTATGACTAATAACCAGTCCATGCAAAGCTTATTGTTAAATCATCTGAAAATGGAACTTTCAACAGGTGATGATCGACTGTATTGTCAAACATGCGCCAAACTAACTAAATGTTATAAGAAAGCAAGTATAACTGATGAAGACGATGAAGTTTTTTAATGTGTCTTTGTTTTCGTTTATTTTTGTACCTATGTTGTCTGTTATACATTATTTTTAACGTTTCTCAACATAGATAAACTAATGTTTGAGCCCCAATGATGGGTTTCAGTCCGAAATGTTGGCAAAAACTAAATTGTTCATCTACGAAGAATTTTTGATCCTTTTCTCGACTAATAAGCATTTGCAAATATTATTTGGATCACCAAACCTCGGGAAATTTCGAACTTACTTGAGAAATTTTACAGTAAAAAATATAAAATATCAATGCATTGTACTGTAATTGTTTTGTGATACATGCTTTCTGAGTTCGTCCTTCATTCATAAATATTTCAATAAATAATTTCATTGGCCAATCATTCGTATGAACTTGCCCTCAAAAGAAAAAAGCAATTACCAGCTCATTAAAATGAGTACATTGAGTTTATAATAGAAAGTATTCCCCGTTTTTGTTAGTGTAGCAGTAATGCAAACGCATGCAATAACTTATATTATGCAAATAAAAGTAAAAGGCAAGTATAATTTCCACACGAACTCTCGCGGTTTGTTTTTTGTCGTATCCAAATAATTATCTGCGCAATTTTCGTATAATCACATAGTATACACAGCAGATATTGGAAATTTCCACAGATTTTCATCAAAGAATACGATGAATTGGTCGAAAGTAAATAGCTGAAGAAAATGAAAGAAGTATCCACTTTTCTTTTGGTGTCATCGGCATTGATTAAATTGGTCATAAGCCTCGTGTCCTGGGTATGCAATGTTAATAACTCCCTTAGCCACCTAGTGAGCATCATGGCTATTCGCAGTCCGTCAGCCATGTGACGTTGCGGAATCATCCCAACTTCAACTGGATAAACTCTCCCGAGAAAAATATCTGGTCGAGGTTGGAATCGAACTCACGACCTTTCAGTCGTGAGTCGTCTTCTGCTATTATCGGAAATATTGTATTTCCAATCTAGAATATGAGAAAAATTGTAAAGTTAAAATCCGAAATTCCATTGTAATACTAACCTGCCCCACTAGCCACACGAAACACTGTCATCTCCAACGGTGGACATCCAATATTCCAGAATAAGACACGGGTAAAAGAGATCATGGTCCGATCAACATGAAAATTCGCATAGTGACTTGTGGCGCTCTCTACTGCTATGTTCGAAACTCAAAGGTGTGCATGCGTTTCCGCTTATTTATTGTTCCTGATAGAAGTGTTTGTGTACATGAATGGCTTTACTTAATACGATGTCATCCTCTGATAGTGATAATGATCCAGAATAGGAGCCAGCGGAAGTGACAAGAGCCGTTTCTGGCGTATCAGTTCGTGCTGAGTAGGTAAATTGGCATAAGATTAAATTTATTGCCATGATACAAGAAAATGCTATTATATACTTGGGCAATGAGTAGAAACCCACTTCATGGTTCATATAAATGCAAAAAATGCAGGTTAGGTAAGGTTAGGTCAGGTTAATGATAATAATAATAATATTTAATTTCCATAAGACATGAACATGTATTGGAATAGTCAGTTATATGAATGAATACAATCAAGAAGATCATACAGTCACATTAAAAATTCTTGCACGGTATAAAAACTATAATTCAATAAAAACATTTTCAAATTGAATTTAAAAACATGGATTCTGTCAATTTCTCTGATAAAAGAAGGTAACTTGTTGAACATTTTCAATCCCAAGTAAAAAGGGGACCGGCCAGTTAGTTTGTATTTATAGGGTGTCACATAAAAATTATTACGATTTCTCGTGTCAATACTATGATAGGAGCTATGTCGTTCGAACTTTGATTGATTTATATAAATATAAAAACACATTTCAAATATAAATATATCCGCAAGAGTTAATACTTTGTATTGCTTGAAAAGGTCTCTACATGATGTTTGACGTTCAACTCCTGCCAAGATTCGGAGAATTTTTTTTGTGCGACAAAAACACTTTGCGCTGATGAAGAACCACCCCATAGACAAATGCCATATCTAATTCGCGATTCTACATGAGCATGGTAATAATTCAGTATTTGATCACTGGTTAAAATCATTTTGAGGTTTCTCATTAAATATGTGGTAAATGATAATTTGGAGGTAAGTTGGCTACAATGTCCTTTCCAGTTCAGACAGTGGTCTAATGTAAGCCAAAAAAAAAAATTCAAATAGAAATTTACATTCAGTGACATTAGAAAGTATCCTGTTGTTGGCATTAATTTTGATGTCAGAACAAGTTTTTTGTCGATGGTGAAATCGAATAGAAAAGGATTTCTCAGAGTTAAAAAACAAGTTATGTTATGTTATGTTTAACATATTTATGTTAGATTAGGTTTCTAATGATTGTCCAGCCATTTTAAATAACTTTTTATCAAACATTCTGAAGAAACAAATCACTTTTTCGCACCTTCAGGATATTTTTTTTGACTTATCATCCTTTATTATGTCTACTGTAATGATTTGATTTTGTTTCGACTATGGTCCCATAAGGAACTCTTACCTAAGACACTTGCCCTAATTTTTAGGAAAGAAAGGTTTTTTGTGTAAAGAACTACTCTTACCTAAGACTCTTGCCTTAATTTTAGGAAATAAAGGTTTTTTGCATGAAACAATGTTGTGGAAGATAACTTTTATGAAATATTTTCAACGATAACATATGAAAGAGCAGGTGCATTTGAATACAGCTGACTTTTCACGAAAGAAACAACTATCTATTTCTAGTTATCACATCGAAACATTATTACAAAATCCAAGTTTTACCTACATGATGTTCTTATGCATTATGAAATCTGTTTCATACATGAGAAATCAGTCTTCCGTAGAATATTACGTTCATCTTCTATATTGCCGCAGGCCATAAAGAGTTTGTATCGCCCATTATATTACATGCCATTTTTTCACAATGTTCGATAAAATTGAATTGGATTTCAACGATTTATATTCGTTATATCGCGAAAGGTTGAAACTTTTTCCTTTGGTATGTTGACTACAAATATTTTACTGTCACTATCACCGTCTTTACAAAAAATGTTGATTGATAACGATACACTATCTCTGGACGAAACAAACTAGTTTGAAAAGTATTTTTGGTGAAAACTGACTAAATGATGAATTTAATAGCGAATTGCAAAATAGCAAGCTGTCGCTTGAATTGGTCAAGCCACACCTGTATCATGTGTTAGCAGATTTTGCATTTGTTGTTTTACTTCAGAGTTTTAGTGAAATGAGGACTCGTTATAAAGCACTTCCTTGAAATTCATCGAAGAGAAAGCAAGAAAATGTATGTATTCATTAACAATTTCATTTAATCAAATCTACATATTTCAATTATAAATTCAACTTCACCACCTCAGATTTTGATGAAACAGAAACATTAATAAGTTATAATTATATCTAAAGAAATGAACTTCAAACGTTCAAGCTAGTCTCGAATATACCTACACAGTAGGTTGAATGGACTGACGCCTATCAGAAAACAACTACTCTCCTGGCTAATACTACGACGGGCGTTGGATTATATCCGACAAGCGTCAGTGCAGGAATCTTCACTGAAAATTTCCTGCATTTACAATTGGCAATACAACTAAAAGAGTCGACCTTCAATTTTGGAACGGGCACAGTTGCAGACCGGTTTCGGGCTCATTAGCCACTCATCAGTGCAAGAAAGTGGCCATCATTGACCCGAAGTTCGCTTCAACTTAGGAAGAGGAATGAAATACTCTGAAAGAATTCCGATTTTCAATTATGGAATATCATTGACTTTAGGTCGATGATAGCCACTATCTCACACTGACGAGTGGCTAATGAGCCCAAAAACGGTCTGCAAGTG